ATTCAAATCGACAATAACGATTAAGTAACCGAAACGATACGAAAAATATAAAAATTTGAATATTGTCCAACGTCGTACTAAAACATAAATAAAAATGTATTCAACAAGAAACGCTAAAAAATTGCAATTAATTTTTAGAGCAAACTAGACGTGTATAGAATACGGGAAAAATACATAGTTGGTCCAACTAAACTAGTGTAGTTTCTATATTAACTATAAACTAGTTGGTTGCTGAAAACTAAACATTTGGTTGGCCCAGAAATATCGACCCGACTATTTATTTCATTATTCCAACTAGAAACTTATTGTGTCACTATATTAATCGTTATTATTTTAATTAGACCAACAGCTATGTATTTTTTTCTGCGTAGAGCGGTATCACCCGGTATATATATATAATTTGTATTCAATATTAATGTGTACCTACCTATTTATTGGTATTGCTATTATTTTATGCTATCTACGATGTACTAGGTTGGCGCGCACACTTTTCTCGCATAACTAGTTTCCTTGATCCTGAAAAAAAAACATAACTGGACAGCGCGTCCGCCGTCGACGCTGCCGCCACCGTTGTCGGCAGCTCGCTCATTAGTGCCGTGACCATGTTCGGATGAGGTAGTGCGGCGGCGATTGTTTATTTGTCTCCAAGTTGAGCCTTAGTTTCGGACGCGTCGGAGATTTGAGTATTTTCTTAACACCGTCCCGTACTCAAATGCCGCGTTTCGAAGTCATCACCAACCGCTATGGAAGCATTATCGACGTGCGAGAATGCGCCGAAGGGTGAGTTCCATTCAAATAAATACATATCATAATAGGTAATATATATATATATATATATATATATATATATTGTAAAAAAAAGCACACTTTCCCGAGTATAATAATAAAAAACAAAAAAAAATGATCATTAAAAATACCTAGCCAATTATCTATCTAATCGAACGGTGTGCAAAAACAAAAAAATATATTCTGGTAAACGAACAAAATAATATATAATGTGCTATTACTCTCGACTATATTGTACGATACCTACTAGCATTGCCATTGAACGACACAAACGTTACTTAATGGTATATTATGTAGGATTTTATTGTTTTACGGTACGCGAGCACAATCCGAAAAAACATAAGCCCGTATACTCCGTGTGTGTGTAATGACTTGGGCCTCGCTATGTGATTTACATTATTGTCGTGTTGACCTAGTGGTGGTCACCGACAAAGATATTTAAAATACAATTCATTTTTTTTTATCCTGACCCCCTTGCTTGAAAAATTTAATAATATGTGGATTGAAAATGTCGGGATTTGTATTTTGGTCACACGACCGTGTGAAGGTTTCCGCATGGAATTGGGACGGTTCGCACGGTGTCTAACCTCGATTTTTTTTGTTTAGCTTTTACAATACCGGTATTAATAATAATTATGATAATTACCCTTATACATACATTGCCGTCCTCCTGGTGTTACGCCGATCCGGGAATTAAGGAAAATTCTTTTTTTTTAAAAATGGCTGTACAAAAAATGTATTAATCTATACATAGCAGTCTACTGAAAGGAACAGCTCGGTACGGTGAAATTTATTGGCTCTGTTCATCACACGCGTGACGTATAAAAACCGAAACCGACGTTGAACATCTTAGGCGTATTGGTAAAACGTCAAGTACATAATATTATGCAATAATAACGTTTTGGCTATTAAACAAATTACACGAGACGTTCGGTTTAAATTTAAATTTACACAAATTCCATCTGCACCGTAAAAATGAGTGGACAATTTTTAATATATTACATATTTTTAAACCTTTACCAACATAGCCGCTATTGCTCTTTAACTATTCAACATCATGCGTGTGTAGAACATTATAATTTATAAACTTCTACAGAAGACATGTCAAAAGTCAAACGACTTTTGGTTTCAAGTGTATACCTTGCTGTTGTTTGGGTGTCCTATCTATAATGATCGTCCTGGATAATAACGATTTGTTGGTCACCCTTTTCAGTCAACTCTTTAAGTCTTTTGTGTCTTATACATGGTGTATAATATGTTAGCGACACTGGTTTTTTTTCTTCTCTATTGCGCCTTCGTGACGATTAAACTTTATTAACGGTACAATTATTGTCGGAAATGACCTGCAACAACGCAACGATATCGCAGGTTACTGGCAGCAACTGACAAACGGTAAATATATTAAATGATAGATAACACGGCGATAGTAATACGATATTATTATAGAAGTACGTGTGTCTTGTAAATGGCGGTCACTGGATTAACGGATCGACAACAATGACAGTTACGATGTCGATCATTGAATGTATTTTTAACGATAGAGACCATAGAATAAAATTATTAATGTTTATATATAGAGCTGTAACATCATAGTAATATAATTCCTCGTACTCGGCAACGAAGTAACCAAGAAGGCGAGAGACAGTGTGACCACTTCAAGAAAAAATAAACAAATTTGTTTGGTTAAACACTGCACAATATAATCGTGTTATCAACTATATAGATCAATAGATGAATTACAACTTCAAATGATAATATGATAACTGATGTCATAATATGTTTTGTACGGCATGGTTGTAGTGATGAAAAAGCAAGTTAAAAAAATATGTACTAGAGAAATGTAGTTTTTTCATTATGGTCACACTGCAGCTCGTCTTTTCGTGTACTTCATGATATTTTATTCAATGCGATCCCGTGCGTTAGACTTTAGCTAGATTTTTCTACCACCGAAAATATAATATTCAGTTATTTCGTGTTCAGCTTGCCTTAAATTAAATACACCTCTGATCTCTATATGTGTTTATATCACGGGACTTTGTTATAACTTTGGGAAATTGTAAATGTAAATTAATTTGTTCAGAGTTGCCAAGTATAATATTGACATAAAAATCGTATAAAGTAGTTAGTTTTTTATGTGATAAATAATGATGGCGATAAAACAATATCGTTGTAATTTGGGCAATAATAATTAATTGTATGAACAATTTGATTGAAACAAACATACTATAAACAATTACTTTTACAGACCCCCGTATGTATGGGGTTGAATGCAGCATCACCGTGTTCAGATATTAAAGACGTGTTATGATTAACTGAATGACACGAGATTTATCACGAACGTGTAACCGCTTCGAGATTTACTATTTGTAACGGTTTTTTTTTTTCAAATTTCGCAGAAAAGTAGGAAATAATGATAAATAAGCAATATATTATATCCGTCGCCGGGGTAACCGGTTTTAGCGCTCAAAATTACAGAGCAAGATAAGAAATACCGGTGTGCTGGGCGACTGGGTGGAATTAATTAAAAAAATATATTGTGTATGAAAATATAATCGAATATTCAGGGTCGCCGACACGCGTTTTGCGCATATAAATTGAAGGTTAGAAAAATATCGCCGCTTAATATGATATTGTTCGTCTTGCCTGACACTACTGTACTGTAGGTGCGCGGTATCTACACAATGTAGAATATTTATTTTTAATTATTATTACTATTTGTAATTATTACTATATCACCGATTACACGTTAACCAAAGCAGAGATCATCACAAAACATAATTATAGATCCTCTGTGTCTACCGTTTGGTTGCTGTTGATTTGTGCGTGACGTGCGAGGCTCAATTTAGGCAGATCGGGTCCTCACGTCAAGCGCCTGTCACTATATGCAATAATATTATGTGTTAGTATAATTAATAAAAATTATTATCGTTATTTATAACAACGATACGTTTTGTGTATGATCAAATTATAATTTATAAGAGTAGTTATTTATCTGATATGTTATCAAATTTCCCACCTGATCCAATGCGATGGTCGTTTAGTTAAGGACAATTGCGGATCAACCTCTCAGCTCAAGTGGGTTTTTACTTTGTCTGGATGAACCTAAATATCTGTTTAAGAAGTAATTGAGGATGTAGTGACTATCTCCTTCTGAAATTTCAAAATTGGCTGGTCAGCGTTGTTAGGTTGATAGCCAGCTATGTCGTCATCAAATCAGAAATCTCAATCTGTCCAGTAGGGATAGCAGACTTTGAACACAACCAAATATTGTAGGCCAAGAATAATTTGTTTTAAGTTATCTTGTATATTATTTCAAAAAGTTGTTTTACATTAAAAGAGGTACTATTTTGAAGATTAGGTGAATCGTTAGTTTACAATTGCATATTGTACTATCTGTTCAAAAATCTAAGCTGAAAATTAGTGTTTTTGTGCGAAGTAAAATGCCAAATGTCTGGTTTAGTTGTTTTTATTTTATTTTGTTTTAGCACACAGTAAAGTCGTTTTTTTTTATCTCAATCACGATGGCGGTTTTAATGTACATACATTTTTTATTATTGTATTAACGTTGTTTCCTTAATTCTCAAGGCTAGTGAGAAGTCGTGCTTACGCTATTTACTTATCGAGGGGCTTAGTGTTCGTGTGCGAAGTATTCCGCGGGCCAACTAATAATTTTATAAATTTATTTATTTATTTTATACAACAATGGAAACAATAACGTGGGATATTTTTAAATGGAAAATTACTTTTTATAATCTAGCTTTATGTCGTGGTTTTATTATATATAACGTTTTCTTTTAGAATTTAAGTTATTATTAGATGCATTGATTTAATTTAGTTATCTTCCATTTGACTTATTCCCTACGACTTCGCTATGTTAATAGGTTTATATTTAACCCTAAAATCTTGATTGTATTTCTTAATAAGTTTCTTCTTATTTTAAACGAAGACATGAGGTTTATTAAAAGTATAAGATAAAAATGATTACCCGCCCATTTATTAAGTAGTTAAGTATAGGTAATTGTTCGCAGTCTTAATTTAGAGACTAATCTATAGTGTATACTTATTAATGGAGTAATAGATAGCTGACCGATTAGGCACAGCTCGACGGGGAATTTTACGGTGCTAACAGTGTATGCGTTTAACTATAATACTATGCACAACAACCAATGTAATGTACAAAAATATATTGAATTCAATTTTTTTTATTTTTGCAGAGCGTACGAAATGTCACAGGAGTCCCAAAGTCCATTAGGCCAATGGAGCAACAAATACAGTTCTGTGTTGGCCACGCTCGGCTGTACTTTGGGAGCCTTCAACATCAGTCGGTTCGCCATACTCACAGTCCAGTTTGGAGGTTAGTTATAGTACGACAGCTGCCCTGAAACGCGGGCGAGTCGGTTCGCATGTTTTGCTGCGTACTCGCGTATGGCCCGAGGGGGTCTTGAACCTTGAACTAGCGTCTTCCTCCCGGGGTTTACGTTTGTTAATATTATTCGGCTCTAGATTATTGTGATTATTGTCTTAACAACGACCGTGTGTCTTTTTGCAGCCAACTTCATACTACAGTTCCTAGTGTTATCGTTGCTAGTCGGCGTGCCGCTGTTCACGTTTCACAGTTCGCTTGGCCAGCTGCTAGGCGCCGGTGTGATGGACATGTGGAGGATATCACCGATATTCAAGGTTAGTCGCACACGTTCAAGTATCTGATTATGATAACTTAACCGGTCGATTGTTTTTCCTTTGCACAGGGAATCGGAATAGCGCTGCTACTGGCCCAAGCGCTCATCGGCACCTACTCCATTATCGGAGTGTCGTGGATGTTCGCGTACTTCCGCGATTCGTTCATCACTAAACAAGACATTTACAGATGGGCGGAACCGATCGACGAGTACAGAGAAGGTAGGTGTCTGGTCATCGGATGAACTATAATTTGTTGTAATGTTACCCTTCTAGCAGTAACGTATTTGCGCAACGCTGCGTCTTCAGCGTTCACAACAGACGGAGAATATTGATTTGATTTGATTTTTTTTGTTTTGTTTAGATGGCGTGCCCTGGACTTATTCCTCGAACGTCAGCTATAACATAGAAGAGACGGTACCAGCATACTTTAACGGCATAGCTCTGCAAAGGAAATATGTGGAAAAACTCGAGATGAACGACAACTCGTTGAAACTGCCCGTAGTCGTTAACTTGACCATCGTTTGGGCGATTGTATTTATATGCCTTAGCAAAGGTAAATAGATGATACGATCTAAACCACGTTATCAGTGTAAAATTTGGTATCTTTATAAAATTATAACATTACCGTAGAATTAATTTTGCATCTTTTTTTTTTTTTACAGGTCTCAAGTCTTACAGCAAAGTTGTGTGCATGTTTTCGCTGGTACCAGTGTTTGGTATGTTTATGTTGTGCACGAAGATGTTGGGCATGGCACCCATTATCGGATTTCAACATCAAGACATCTTTCCGGAAACCGATTGGAGCGAATTTTTCCTCAACACTAAAGTAAGTGGATCATTATGTTTTATAATAACGTTGCTGCATGTTTTATGGACACAGTTGTGATGTCATTACATCTTGCTTAGACGTCTGGCTCGAAATATTTAATATTGTACACGATTTGTTCGTGAGCAGTCTGCAAAGCTGGATTTATAGATTTATGATCGTGAATTTTTCGTGTGTGCATCCACAAACAATTTAATTATTATTAATGTTAATGTGATTTTTTTTTTTTATTCAGAGTTGGGTAGCTGCTTTTACAGAAACGTTCCTGACGTGGGGCATATTGGGAGCGTGCACGATGCAAATCACATCGCACAATCGGCCGAAGCATTTGCTGCACAGGGATGCTTCGCTAGTGGTCATTCTGACCATAGCCGTGTTGGTGCTGGCCGCGTTCTTGGCCAACACCTGCGTTCAGCTCCTCGAAGCTCACGGATACGTGTACCTGCCTAGTTCTTTTGGTAATACATTTTCCAGTCGTATATTTATAATTCTATCCCCTAACTAATTGGGGGGGGAAAATTCCCACCTTGGCAAATTGACTAATATTTCTTATTTTTTTTTATTTTAGAGCGCGTGAGTTCCTATACATTCATGTTCAAACAAAATTCCCCTCAAGCCCGCAAACACTTGACGCCGGTGCGATGGATGCAGCACAGCAGCTTGTTCATGGGTGAGAGAACAATGAAGACCAACGTGCCCGGGGTGCCACAGGAGAGCGGCTACCAAGCGATGCGACTGGCCACCGAACTCTTTCCGGCCACGTTCGCCTTGATAGGGGCCAAAAACATCTCCCCCTTCTGGTCCGTTCTATTCTATTTTTCGCTAATCATGTTTGGCATCGGACAACAGGTACGCGTGTATGGAAGATTGTCGCTTTCGTTTTGATCGAGTAGTTTAAGCTAAACGGTGTAAAATTATTTCAATCTTTCGCCTTTATACAGATAGCCATATGGCATTGCGTGGTCAGCGGCGTCATATCTCTACATCCGTTCAAACTGCGTAAGTGGCGCACTACCATCACATTTCTGTCATGCGCCGCCGCTTTTTCTGTTGGCCTGTTCATGGCGACTGAAGTAAGTGTTGTTTTACCCAATAGTTTCAGCTTAAACACGTCTCTCTAACTAACAGCACGGTTAAATGTTCGTTTTTCAGTTGGGCATATTTATCGTGTACCTCATGGACTTCTGCGTGGGGTGCGGCTGGTGGATGATGATATTGTACTTGCTCGAAATCGGAGCTTTGTTCATGGTCCGCGGTAGACCGTATAGCGGCGAGACGGTAGTGGCAACGCTTTTCTCCCAGGCTAACCATCATCTGCAAGTGTGGTTGGCGCCCATGTTGTCCTTCGACTGGAACATCGTAGTGCCGGTCGCGCTGATTGTAAGTCAATATCGACGACTGGGAATAATTAATTTGTAATATTATTGTCATTGACGATAATGTCCCACTTGCAGTTGCTGAGTACGTCAGTGTTCAAAAACGGAGGATATCGTTGGCTGTACAACTGGAAAACCACGTCTCAGGCGTCATACTGGTCGGCCTCGAGCAGGGAATTCGGTTGCCTGCTACAAATACTTCCTTTGCTGATAGTACCGTTCGCCGGCATCGTGCAGAGCTGTCGGTACTTGGCCACCGGACCACCGGACTTATTCGACGTAAGTTGTTCGGATTTTGCAATGTCCGGTTCGAAGGACCATCTCTAATTTGTTCGGGTTTCGCAGCGTATACAAATGCTATATCGGCCAGTGATTGAGACCCGGAGGAACGCGGAGAACGGGGATGGAGCCTCGGAAGGCGGTGCCAACGGATCGGCAGCCGTGCAAATCGAAGACCCACCGCCCAAGTACACGCCGCCACCGTCTTACTCGACGGCTACCGGAGCAAGGTCATTACGATTCTCTGAATTAGTAACAGTTTACGAGAACGAAGTAGAATAGTGCACGAATCATAACGTCATCGTTTTAATATTATAAACATACATTTGTGCATAATTGTTTCTGTATTTTTTTACCATAAATTCTTAAATAACATGTTTTTTACCTAGTCAATACTATTACTTACACAATTTACTATGCTTTTATCTTCACCAGACGGCTGTTTGATTAACCTAATATGTTTTTTATTTTATTTTTATTGTAGTCAATAGATTAACATTTTTTTGTTTACGTTTTACTTCGTTATTAATTCAATAATAACATTTCTTCATATACCTACCTAACAAAAACGGTATGCATGCATGACGCTATTTTTTCATCTATCTATGGCATCTAATATAGTCCGGTTTCGCGTGTACTTCCGCGTTCGCGTTGTGAGCTACTGCTGCTATCGCCCGTCCGCTTTTCCTTCTTAACCCTTTCTTTAACACGCGCGGTGGTCGCGACGCCGAGTGCAGCACTAATTATATTATAATAAATATACCTTTATAACGGCCGTTGCACGAGCTAACAAACGTTCCGCCGGTGTATCGCAATATCAAATACCGCGGCGCCGAATGTGTCGCCGTCAAATGAAATGTGTGTTGTTTTTCTTGTAGAATCGCCAAAATGTTGCGACAGAGCATACGGAGGAGCGTGCGGAGGATAGCGCACGTGCTGGGAAACCAAACGGCCGCGGCCATACTGGGCGAAACGTCCACGTCCGCCGCCGTCAACGCTTCTGTCGTGGCCTCGGCGTCGGCTTCCGGCGGTCACCAGGCGCCGCAGTCTCATCCGGCAGCCTTACGTCAACCGACCGTCTCCTCCACCGCCGGCACAACTCCGACAACGACACCCGACCGACTAGCCACGGCGATGCCGCCTCCCCCGGATTACACTACGGTTCTGGTGGAGATCAGCAAGAACGCCGGCATCGTCAACGGAATCGTCGGTGGTTGTAGTACCAGCAGCAGCAGCAGCAGCAGTAGCGTGGGCGAAATGTCGTCGGCCTCCAGTCTGTCGAACGAGCAGAGCACCAGCATAGAGTGTCTGATGGAAAGGGTCGAGCCCATCAACGTGGATCGGGCATGCGGATCCGGAATGTAAGACGATCTCACCCCCTTCCCCGTCTCCAAAAAAAAAATCTCCTCCGAGACGTTGAATCAATGTCGAAGAAAAAAAAACGACAGCCCAGAAATCGAGGCGCGTTGGCGTTAACGTAAATGAAAAAAAAAACGAACACAATCAACTGTACAAAAACTAATGATGAAGCGCATACGTTTTCGTATATTATTAAAAGAAAACGAAAAAAAAACAAAATGACTGTGATAGATTTTTTTTTTTTTTTTAATTTAATTATTACTATAATTTTTTTTATACACGAATTATTGTATTCATTATTTTTAAGATCCTATACGTAATACATACCGCGCGTGCTAAGCGAGCGTGTATCATGTATACAAACTACAAACAAATATATATTTGTTTTTTTAATAAATTATTGTCTACATTTTTATTACTATTATTATGGAGTTCGTATCACTCGGCCGAATCCGTCGTTTGTACAGCAAGTTTGATCGCAGAATAAATGAAATCAGAAAGGACAGTCAACAAAAACGTGGCAGCCGCCAATGCTAAACCTGCTATAATGCTTATAAATTATATCCATACACTATTAAAAATAAAAATGTTCAGATATAATTTATTATGATTATAGCAGGTTTAGATAATATCTAAAATAAATAATAAAATATCTTCCCCGTGTTAATTTGTATTCGTGTCCGAGGCCAAATTGTTTTAATTGCAAGTTCCTGAAAATTGTCACCGATTAGACATTTATGATTATCTACACCACATTGCCCGTAGTCATAAATTTCAGTTCTACTGTAAACTCGTCCTTGAACCCTAACCGCCAGACAATACAAATGGTTTCACTATAATGAGCCGTTAACATTAAAACGTAATCGCACCTATTTAAAAAAGACTATTACAATAACATTTCATTAAAACTTCAACTAATTTCAGTAAGAGCTGGTCGAATCCATGGTTGTAATATACAGGTTATTGCAAATCGTCTCGAATTGTTATCATCAGAAATAAAACGGTAGCATAAGAGCATAATATCGATTTTACTGTTACTATATATTTTACTTGTGTACATATAATAAACTTGATTTTGGCTCCCATTACGCTGACATATTTGTTTTTATCATCGATTAGTTGTCGAAGAAGTGGCATAATATGTGCAATAGCCTTGTATATTTCAATCATGGTCAAATTTATTTAATTGTGACATATTTGCTTTGTGTGTAGTCGTAAATCTGTATTTTCCGGTAAATAATACAGAGTACTTAGAATTACTTAGACAAATACCTCTAAACGTCCCTCAAATAAATACCCGTTCGTCACAAACGTTTTATTCAGCTACCTACCGGCAAAACTACAGTTTATTCGCTAACTCAATAAAAAATTTTGATTTTTTTTTTTATGATGACATAACCAGGTTGAAATATCTTATTAATTTGTAATTTGTCTCGATCGTATTTGTATCTCACGTGTTTGTAATTTGTAAAATAACTGTTCTGAGCCCAATTTTTTGGCGTATAATAAAATAATAATAATACTTGCCTATTAGCAATTGTTAAACAACTAATAAACGCTAATACTTGTTTCTAATAATGTGTCTATTGAGCGATTTGGGCTTCTGATCGACTAGCGTCGTTAACTTGTTGCGTTTGTTCATTTTTCTAATTAAAGAAGTGCAGAAAAAGCAAATTGATTGCCGAAAATGTTTATTGTTTACAAAACAAAAGATTTGAAAACATTTTTATCGCCGTGTTATGATTTCATTAAGTCGCATGCACTCATATAATCTTTGGAATATCATTTTTTTATTTATATATAATTACACTACTTAATATGTTTAAATTGGCTATGTTATCATACATTATTTGAACACAGAATTCCTACATCGTCGCTACTACCAACATTGGATTGTTTATGTACTAATTGTTTTACACAAATTATTGTCTTTATTGTATTAAAAATTAAGATGCTGCGAGTGATGTCGGACACCGAACAAAGGTATAATGTGTGATTAACGGCAAAGTACATTGTTTTTAAATTATTCCTTTAGTCACTCCGTTTCAGGTGTCGTCGTAGTCGTAGTGCTTGTTCGACAAACGATCGATGTACTGATTGGAACCCGTTGGATTGGAACTATCACTGCTATGCCTCTTTCTGGCCGGCTTCGTCGATCCCCGACACTTTGCAATGAACTTGAGTTCCTCTTTGAATTCGTTCTTGAACGAAATCTGTAAAATCATAATAATGCAAATAAAATTTGCAGATGACAACATCGTTGTCGTAACACGTATACGCAAGAAGTGTATAATTTTTATGGTTTAGGGTTCAAGTAGATTTTATATCTTAACTATAATGCAAATAGTTTACCACAATATTATGAAACAAAGTCCCTGTACTTATGCATTTATAACATTTTAACATTTGCTTTACTCGCAAGAGAGCAAAAACTGATCGGTTAGAAGCTACGGTAAAAGTAGAACCAAAGAATCGATGTGTATTACCTTTTCTTTGCTAGATGTTTTCCATAGCATCCAGAACATCTCCAAACCAGCAAGTATGGCCGCCACTCCCACGCCACTGCACAACACTATAAACACCCCGCCAACGTTTTTCATGCTCAATTCGCTAGCTTCGTTGCCCTTATCGTCGTCCTAAAACAACAACAAAAATGTTTAAATATTTCAAACCAATACAATAATATCAATCCAAACGCCAAGTGTAATATATAATATTATGAACTATTATATGCTAATTGATCGAATACCTGACACGTTCCTCCGCCGCGTTTTTCTTTCCACCACTTGTTCTTTAACGCGGTGAGTTTGCCTTTTTCTTGTAGACTTAAAATGTTTGCGCTCAAAACGTTCCGGTAACTGACATCTAGACAAACGTATGACAATAAGTAAAATTATATTTTTTTAAGGAAATTAAACAAAATGCATTATTGTACTTTTTTTCATTACTATCCCGTAGTCTTTGTTATCCAAAAGACCTCCGACCTGGGCCAACTTACAGTTACGTTCGACTTCGTATCTAAAAACCAATACGTCGTGTACTTCAAGTTAGTTATTGAACAACATGGTTTTGTTGATGATAATTTGAAACGTACTCGATGGATGTCGACTCCATGAAGTAAGCGTAGTTATCCCTCAGCACTCTCATCACGCCTTCGTCGTTGTCTTTACTGTACAGCGACGGGTCTTCTTGTAATCTTTTGTAGATTGTCTTGTAAATCGGATTGGCGGAATCCTACGAATGCACATACAGATAGGCGAACGGTCAGTGAGATCCAGTGAAGTAGTTGGAAACAAGCCGGGACAATTGTAAATGGTTTTATTTTTAATAAAGTAATTGAACATGCTTAATTTTTTTGGAAAACAAGCATTTTTATAGTAAGGCTTTCTTGTATTTCAAAATTAAGTAAACCACAAACATTATTCATTTAAACTTAATAATATTTAGAATACATAGTCGGTTGTAAGTTTAAACACAAGTTTTAAGAAAACAGTAAGTTTTATATGGTTTATTTAAATTTAATTACCTACACCTATTGAATGGGGCACTGCGGTTAAGTGTATGTTATGTAAGTGAACAATTTTAAACGTTTTAAAAGTCGGAGAAATCGGTTTAAAAAAAAAAAAAAATACATACAAATTAAATTTTTTTTGTATTAGACTTAATTAAGTTTTTTTAAATGCTAAATAGAACGAAAATCTATAAGAAACGATTCACCGCACAATAGTACGATCGAATAGATATCGCATTTACACAGCCTCTTTAAAAATAACACATTTGCACATCTGCCTGCTACTTATAGCCGGAACAAGTGACTTTCAAGTTCCTTAATCCCAGTACTATAGGCTATTGTTTTATACATACCCGAAAGTAATCACTAGTGGAGCCTCCTGACTTAGCGCCGTACTTGATAATATTTTGATTGGCTAGTTCTTCGACGTCTCTAAAGGGCTCCGATACGCTTTCGACCGTCAAGAAAGCGGCCAAATTCGCCGTGTAGGACGAAACCATGATGAGAGTGAAAAACCACCAGATACCAGCTACAAGTCTAGTCGATACAGCACTAAAAATCGACGATTTAATCATAATCAGTCGTTTGAATTTTCAAAACGTTCGCTTTGGCATAGCCATAACACTATATTAGACAAGTAGATTTTTTTTTGTTTTATCTTACATTGGTGCGATGTCTGAACCTTGCTGCATTAGCGATCCGATAGTGAACCAAAACGCGTTGGAAAGACTGAATTGGTTTTCCAAGTACTCCGGCTCTTCAATACACGGATAAGGGTTGGTCCATTCATAAGGACTGATTCTGGCCATAATGAACAACAGCACGGACACTCCGCAGTAAGCTGTTATCACCCAAAGCCATACGAAAGAGCTAAACGGAGCCAAGAACGAGAACAAGCTTGGCGAGCTCTTCGTTGACTTTTTGTACAATATGCTAATACCTAGGAGATGGAACTAGCAATTACTCATCGTTGTCTGAACTATGGTTATTTAAAAAATTAAACGCAACTCACTCATTGCTATAGATACAATAATTTTTTGGGCCCGTGCTCTTACCTAAGTTCATGTAAGGGCTGGTGAAGTCGACGTCATGTTCTCGTTTTCTCGTTATAGTAATGTCGGCTATTGCTAGATCAGCGTTCTGATTATAAACAATGGTAAGGCAGACCATACAGTATGAATTTTAATATATTATATGTACACCATAACAGACACATCAGAAAATTAATATGACGTCATAGACGCAATTTTTAACGTAAAAACTTATCACGTGTGTTACTTGTTCAACGATGATGTTAAATCCAAATTTGAAATAAGACAAACAAATAAATAATACAGTAAAAATTGGCATTTAACAAGATTTTAAAATTTCATTTAGCGTATAGCCTGTTTTATATGTTGTTATCTCTCATTAGTAAAAGTTACTAAGTATCTTGTTGATAAGTAGAGTTTTTTTGGCTTACGAGTCAAGAAGTTTGGTTTGAACTTACAAAAATGTTCATAATAAAAAATTTAACTCAGTATAATTTTGAATAACCGATAGTTAGATGTAAATAATTGTAATAGAACATAAAAAAATTCTACTCTATACTATGTTAAAGAAATTTAAGAACATTTTTTTTTAATACAACATCTTAAATCCCGGTAGTAGAAACCTGCTGACAGGTACGAGTACATACATTTAAGCAAAACAATTTTTTAATTTGCTTATACAAATAAGTGTAATGACGTCCGCTCAATTCAAAGATAGTAATATAAACTTTGGGTAATAATAAATACGAGATAAACTTAAATTATACTTACTCCGTTGATGACTTCGCCGATCATTCCATTCCATTTTTTATTTTCTATGTTGCCACTGTTTCTGTCCTCTTGTATTCGAAACGTGTAATTGAAACCGCTCATTTCGCTGAGTTCTTTAATCAAATCAACTCCGAACCCTTCGTACCGGTCGTTGCCTTCCAATTTGTTACTAGATAGTTTAACCATACAATACGGTTTTGTCTGCGGATCAGTATGCGCCTTAGTTAGATTTTGCCCACGTGGTATACGCACTGTATTAGTTCAATAAATACCAAAGCTGTGATGACCACGAACGTCATGTTGCGGAGATCTTCTTTGCCGGACGTGCCGGCTTGAGGTGAGGTGGTCGCTGAAACGTTGACGCCGGTCTTGGCATTCCACGTACCCGTGACTCTCAAGCCTTTCGCCGTCAGGTCCACCAGTTCCAATTCGAAATCGGACCGAAATCCTTCTTGGTCGAATTTGATTTTACCAGTGAGTCCCTTGAAGTCTTTCTGCAATCAAGTCCGGCAACTTGTATTATCCTATTAACCTATATGCTCTATACAGTTAGAAAGGCTATCCTAAAAATGGTCTGACGAACGAACAAGGGCAACAAATTGATTCCTTTGTCGCTGACCTGATATTATTGGACCTTGAGGGGACAACAATATAGGGTTGAGGGCACAAGGATTAGTGATAAGACCCTGCTTGTCAATGTAGCGGATGGCGAATCAGTGAAATGGCTCACCGAAAACGTCCACAAAATAAAACCATGGGAGGGTGTTAAGATCCAACTGCTGGAATCGACTGTCTTACCGCGGTTAATCAAGATGGGGACATTTTTACCGGGGCCGGTTAAAGAAGCGGTTCTGGACATCTTGACTAAACAAAACCCGGGACTATAACCATCAAAAAAGAAGATTTAGCACACACAAATCAGAGATGAGCACAAAAGTCTAAACTCTCATATAAGGCATAAATTAAAAAAACATAGACAAACTGAAGACTCCAAAGAACTGTCCATACTACTGCATGGGCAAGATCACCTTCAGAGTCTATGAAACGCTCCAAGCAAAAGATGAAACTGGCAAGGCCACGTGTCCTAACAGGAATCAACCACCCAAATCATTACGGAAGAGGGAGGCCCAAAAATACTTGTTGGCAAACTTTTATCTGAAAAGGATGAAATCAAAGATATTAGAACAAAATAGATACTGAGATTTGCAAAAAATACTTAGGACTATTCAACACATAGAATTATTAGACTAGGCAGGATATACTAAGGGAAATAGGACTTCGGTGAGAGGGTGCGCACAATGAACCTACAGGTCTGAGTGCATGGTCACTTCCTAAATCACTAACTAACTATTGCTACTCCATACAGTTAGTGCCTAAGTAGGTGTAATACTCACGGCCATTTTCATATGGTTGATTAACGTGAATCCGTGTTTCCAAGATGCGGTAGAATTACAGGGTGTGGCAACCTGGCTGATTGGAAAATCTTTACTTAAGTTGTAAACGGAAGCGGTAAACAATTGAACCGCGTCGTATATCAAAGCGGATTCCAGCTGTGGATAAAAAATAACAATATTAACCGTGGTAAAAATTAATACCATTAAACGTTATTGCCTAACAAGTATTTTTTCGGGCTCCACCGTCGAGTCGTCCGGTTCCAGTGGACTTAAATGATCGGACCATTGAGCCACTGCGTTTTTAAAATCGTCTTCGTACGGCTTCACCAACCGCATGCCCGTGATGTTTGTCCCGCTGTACTTGAAAGGGTCTAAATCCAACGTGTGCATGTCCAAAGACGAGATGATGTAGTTGTGTTCAGAGCCCATGAGACCTACTTGCTGGGCTTGAACGAGGACATCCATCAGAATGTTGAACGTACAGTCGAGGAGGATTTTCGTTTCACCGGAGTCTTTGATCTCGCGGAGTTCGGTTCTATAATTGTTGCCTGAACTCAGTTGTCGGATTCGTATTGGATAATTGCTAGGAGGCGTCTTCAGGATGTTGGTGATGTGCATCAGGTTGTCGTTGTTTTCGTAGACGATCGTAAAGCTTTCCCAGTTCAAAGCTACGACTAGGTCGACTAGCGCCTACCGGGGACATAAAACCAATGTAGCTTATGCTGTATAATAAGTCTGATACATTAAAATGAGATCATATTCACTTTGGCTAACGTGTAAGGATGTGGATAAAGGTTTATCTGGCAGGAGCCGCGTTTTTGATTGATGTCCCATCTAGTCTGTATGTGTGGCACTTCCTTATAATCACAAATCGACTGCACGATGGGCGCCGTGTCGCCGGCCGATGGACCAAACACTCCAGCGACTCCAGAGCCCAACATTTCGCATACTTATTGACGGAAAATGAAAACAAAGTTATAATACTGCTATAATGACATTGTAAAGATATGTGTACATAATACAACAATTAGTGGACTTACCGACGTGCTGAGCCTCAAACGAATCATGGAGGGATATTTGTTTGCTAACGATGGCTAATCGCAAATCGGATTCCATTGTTTTACCCTTTGCCACTTCCACCGCCGACTTGAAAGCCGTCTCTTGCATTGTGTATTCGTCGGTGTACAAAACTCCTAAAATTAGGTGAGTTTTTTTTTCAATTGTACTCAATGCTATATTAACGAAAAACTGCTTCCCTTTTATGAATAGTAGCTTCGTGAACAAAGACTAAAATATTAAACACTAATACTTGCGATCACTAATATATTTAACAAAAGGTATATGTTATATTGTAAAGCCTAAATCGGCTATCATGTGCCCGTTAAGTCTGAGAAAAACGTAGTATTTTGAATTTTGCCAGGACGTTTTTAGAATTGGTCAAGGTAATTAGAAAAAAATCTGGTATTTAGTTTATTATATTTATAGACATGTGATAGTTAACCAAACGGCCAAACAGGGGTCTTTTTGATTTTTCCGTTATTTTCCAAATTAATTTTTTGGCTATTGAAAATTGAAATACAAACAAATAGAAAAATAATTTACTGTTATGTGACCTATAACTTTTTTATTAATATAACAAATATACAATTATTTCACGCTTTACATAGTAGAATTCCTGCGAAGGCATACATTTAAAAATAATATGAAAATCTTTCTATATCTTTTACCTATGTGTCATACATCTTACGTTTAGCATATATACTTATGTATATTAAATAATATGTTTAAACCTCAGAGTATTTATTATATAAATTCATTAGTGACAATATTCATTTATTCTAAAAGAACTCTTAATCTCTTTATATTTAGTCCGATAAGACATTTGCAATGCCTATTCGGATCTTAGGTATATAAAACGTCTATTTAATGTTCGAAACTTTACCACAAAAAGTTACTTACCTAATGTTATGTCCCCGCAACAACATTGTTGAACGTTGACGAGAAACCATAAATACGACACCACACCAAACGCGTTCATTTTAGTAGATCTCGTCTTGTAAACATAGTAAACATTTATCAAAAAAATATGTACATATTATATGTAAAACATTGACAAATATATAATGTCAAAATAAAGTAAAAAAATCTCTAGGACGATAATGCTGCAGCACACTACGTGAACTGCTGAAGTAAATGACAGAATCTTCTCTGCCAGTGTTTGCGCTTTTGTTGGCATGATTTTAGTGCAGTGATATTTATAGTTCACACAGCACTTAGACATAAAAAAAAGGGTAATACACGGGACTATGTCGCCGAACGTTGGAAAACTAAACAAATACCAATGGAGAACTAAAAAAAATTCTAAAAATGGTTTTAACTGTGTTAAATATGTAATCGTGACGTAATCATAATTGAACGCCTAGAACTGAACGAAACTTAAGTTATGGCTCGGTTAACACATTTTTTAGAAATTATCGGACTAATATTTCTAATCTTGGAACAAAAATATGATTTAAAAACCTATAGGTTTGATCGTATAATCGACCAATGAAATTAAATCCTGTTATTTACGATTTAGTATGAAAATCGCACAAGTCAAAATGTAGTTTCGCATAACGACAGAATGTGAACTTATAAATACAAATGCGTTCATTTCTCTATTTTAACAAATACTCCTTTTTTGTTAAAAATGGGTAATGAGAAACCTTTTCTTTTACAAAATTAAATTAATAATTAATACAATTTATTTATACACTCCGGAACTTTTAGCATAATATGCCAAATAGAACATAATATAATATAATTTAAAACGAGGACAAACACACAGTTATATGAGCTTTAAATAATATATACTTGTTTTTTAAATAAAAATACCTCAAATGGTTAAAACCACGGTGTACTTCACTCTTTTCTGATTCTAGTGGGCCGGTAAGGGGTGGAAACTTGTTTCCTTATTTATCTTTTCGACGGTAGTTTTAAGATTTTAAATTTGAAAATTAGGTTAACTGTAGATCTAGTGTAACGCTTAAACATATACAAATAAGATTTTCTTGAAAATCTGTAGTCAACATTTTTATTTATTAGGGAAAAAAAAAATACACATTAATCGTAACAGCCAAGTTTCTATTTAATTAAAAAAAAGTCAATAAGTATTTAAAAAATATTTTCATTATATTGTTAACTATAATATTGGGTAATAAATGATTACAGGCAGACGATCAATCCTGTGCTGCTTTTTAGCTTAAGTTAGCCTATACCAATTTTGTATCTAGTACATATTGAAATCACGTACAATAATATTGTCTGCGCGATTCAACAGTAATCACATTTAGTGTATACATTTTAACAGAGTTGTTACCCCAATTTATTAAGAAGTTTGCTGTAGACAATTTTGGCAAAATAATAAAACAGGTATACAATAATGGTATATGACTAGCATAGTGTCTATTTTCCAGGTTTTTCTGTCTTCACTGTTATTGGCCAACTGTTAACAGTCTGTACTTTGTCTGTAGAGAAGGAAGATCATGAAATTTAAAAAAATATATATATATTATACGACGTTCGTCGTTTTTTTTTTTTTTTTGATACTATAATAATTCAATAGTTTTTTATTAAAGTAAATAATTTAAAAAAAGTGAGTTTTGAACAAAATTAAGCTATTAGAAGTATCAACAAAAACCGACGACATATGGTGCATAGTAGTGGCCCAATTTTTCAAAACTCAACGATTACTACAAAAAAAAAAGGAATGATGGTTTAAGAAATAGTAAGTTTTACATCTAAAATTACAACTGTGTGACGTCTTCTTAAACATAAACTCATAAACTGACCAACTCATAAGTCATAACTTATGCTACAATTTACTTTTTAGAACCGTAAAGGTTAGGTTAGGTTTGGTAAATACACAGTTGATAGCCAAATTATTTATTTATTTAGTTTATTAAATTAAATTAACTAATATACTAATTAAACTTTGACTATATTACTCACAATTTACAAAATTTTGTTTTTCTTTAGATAGTAAAAACATAATTCATTATTGTAAATAAGAATTTATAATTATTCAAAACTTACACACGTCAACGTGCTTGTGTGTTTTTTTAATAATGTAAAACGAATTGTATTAGATTAAACAATTAAACAGTATATAAATTATTATTAACTGTAAAGTAGTAAAAATGTATTAGATGTTTTATAAACTTATAAAAAAAGGTTTAATATTCAGCACCTCATATTGGTAAATATAAATGATGTACTCCACTTTGGGTAAATAATACCATTGATTATGTAATTATTACATAATACAAGAACACATTTTTTACTATTATATTCTAAGAGATTAACAAAGTGCAATACTTTTTAATAGATACTTAGTTTAGGAAAATGTATACAGATTTTGTAATTTAATAACAAACATATTTTAACAGCATTCATTGTGCGTTCTACGTCTTGCGGCTCTCGTTTTCATTTTTTATATTGAAGTTAAAACTTTGGAAGGTGCAACGATTTAAGGGTTTACATTTTTTTTAAGAATTCAACTCAAAGAGAAGCGATGAGAATCAAAACAATAATTGTCAAATGAAATTGGCAATAAAAACTCTTACTTAATAGAATTTAATTGTACAAATCGATTACCCTCAATGGTTTGCCTTCTTTCAACAGAAAAAAATATCTACATTAATGAAAATGTATTAAACGCTAAATACTTTGTGAATGAAAGTATTCCAAATAAGTGTTTAGTGGTCTATTGTATTACATTGCTAACTAAAGTTTTCGTTACGAATAAGAAAATGTTGATATTGTTTAAGTGTAAAATGGTTTTTCCATATTTTTATGATTTTAAAATAACATTTGAGCCGATTTTTTCGACGTCATATCAACAATATGTATATCTTGTCAGCTCGTGTATGGAAATATCTATCGAACAATTTTGTTTAAGGCTACGAATGTGTCGAGCTTGACGCTTTTTATTTTAGATCTGGTACTGATCATATTACTATTATTTTCTGTACTTGGTGTGATATTTAATGATCTGGAACAAAAATAAAGTACTCATAAGTGTTATAAAGACGGTAAAACGTCGTACGAAAACGATATACCCTTTCTTCGACAGCTATTTTTCTTGACTTCCAAACGAACTCGAAAACAGCTACTACACAGGCCACGCCCATTCCACCCATAAGCACAACGAACACTCCGCCGACGTTGGCCAGACCTAACTCGTTCGCCGCACTGTTACTCTTCGAAGTGTCGTCCTGAAAAACCCGTAAGTCATAAGATAATAGCATAGTAAAAATCTGTAATGGACTGTTGAGGAAACCATCGACTTACGCGACAAGAGCCGCCCCCTCGTTTTTCTTTCCACCATTTCGTCTTGAGCTTGTGCAACTTGCCGACTTCTTGTAGTTTTAAAATAGCTCCACTAATTGCCGTCCTGTACGGTGAGTCTAACGGTACAACAGGGAATAGGCAAACGTTTAAAATTACTATTAAAAATAGCCATCCAGTGGAAGTAGGTGTTATTAACTTGGCAGGGTTTTTAGTTTCTTTTAAAGATACCTAACGAGTTTAAGTTTTTTGTCAATTAAGTTTAGTTCTAGTTTTAATGTGGAAAACATGTTTTTGGATCACGTCACAGAATTTGTGAATATATCATATATGATAGGAAATAAGAGATAAAAGATTATAGGTACGAGATATCCAGAGGAAGGATATGAGGGAAGGTAGGAGTAGACTAGAGGCGAAAGGAATGGATATGGTCACGTCAATGAACATAGAGATAGCGACGGACAGACGGACACGGGTGGTGGTGTGACTTCTATAAAGTCTCACAGCTAAAGGCGAGCCACTAAAATGCCATTCTGCCAAAAAACGTCCCCGGGGTATCGGTACAACACTTACTCGGGGGTAAAGCAATGCCGTATCCTTTGGAATCCAACAGGCCTCCGACCTGGGTGAGCTCACAGTTGCGTTCGATCACGTATTCGATGCTGGTTGATTCCATCAAAAACGCGTAGTTTCCCTTACCCTTGATCACCCTCTCCACGCCCTCGGTGTTCGAACCCATGAACACACTGGGTCTGGACGATTCCATGAACGACCACATTCTCTGGTAGGTGACGAAATTGGAATCCTGCGAACGAGGAAGGGCGTTTAGGCGTTTACACACGTTCAAAGGAGGACTATATTATACTTACTCGGAAGAACGCAGCGGTCGAACCCCCTCGGAGGGCGCCGTATTTGATTTTGGTCTGTTTCGCCAGGTCTTCGGCGCTCTCGATTGGCGAATCCATTCTCTCTACCGTGAGGAAAGCGGCCAAATTGGCGGTGTACGAAGAGATCATGATCAATGTGAAGAACCACCACATTCCGGCGACTATTCTGGTTGAAACCGCCCTTTGAAAACGACAAAATAACCAAAGTAAATATAACTGCCATCGGCGGGGATGATATCGTGCAAGACGTGCAGCAAAAGACTATATTTTAAGAGGAAAAACCGAACTAAGTATACGACTACATTACAGCAATACTATATTATTATTAGCGAGGCAGAGGTCGAGTAGGAAGATCGGCCCTCTGAGCCGGAGCACGGTAAACGCGTTTACTCACTTGGGCGCCATGTCGGATCCCTGTTGCATCAGAGAGCCGATCGTAAACCACAGAGAGTTGTTCAGGGAAAACTTGTTCTCGAACACATCCGGGGCGTCCGAGTTGCAAGGATGCGGGTTCTCCCATTCGTACGGGCTAAACCTAAACACAAAAACATGCAAAATTCTACAAAAGCAGTTTTAACTAAATGTTTGCCCAATACCGCTATCTAGTAACGTGCTCAGGAAAGATAAATACCAAAGTCCCAAGATTTATTAATATTTGTATATTAATACATAATACCCATGCTCATATGTACACCGTCTTTATATAAATTATAGAAAATAAATGTTTTTTTCCACCAAAATGGCTTTGGCTCATAGAAAAAATTGTATACGTTAAAAATAATACCTTGAAGCTTATACGAATTAATCGGGTAATTAAATTGTCATCGTCGAAATTTATTTAAAATAATTTTGTTTTAAATAAATAAAACTTGTAAACTTAAAATTTGTATGTATACTTATTATTATTATATTAAGCTGTGTACGAGTATTTAAGTAAAATGTTGTAGATGAATATTTTTAAAATAACGTTACTTGCGGATTTCAACGAATCCGAAATGTAGAAACAATTACCTTTTTGGATATTTGTTTTTTTTTAAATTATTTTTGATCAAACATACTTACTAGGATACATGACTTCAAATTAAATAAATATTAAGTATTTATATATAAGATATTAAAATGGCTAAAATAGCGTTTTTTTGTGAAAATCGAATTCCTACCACTTTATTTAACTTTAATTTTTTTTTTAATAAATAATAATTGTAATTATTGACTTAATATATCATTTAAAATAAGTATAGAGTACAGAGTACACAAAAGTACAGTGTATTGGACTTAGATTTTCATAATTCTATTTTTAAACGCCATAATAAGAGTTTGACAAATTTTCACAGGTTTTTAAATTTGTATTCTCGATTTTCAGTAATGTTATCATAAACCAACGTCCAATGCACTCTACAGAAAGTATTATCTTTCAAAAAAAAAACCTATTGTAATTAGACTACTCTAAGAAGTGTGAGCGTTTTTCTTGGGAATAGTAAAAATAATGTACGCTAAAACCTATATTTAATAGGTGATACAAATAAAGCTAAAAATAAGGTGACATAACGGAAACTTAAACATTTCTCATAGTTTGTGACTGCAATTTTTGCGAACAGGACTCATAATGTTTACTGATGCAAGATAAAGTCGAATGAAAAAACTTGTGATGTAATATTAATAAAATTAAAATAAAGTTGACCGTAGGGATATAAGGGCTTGCTTCCAATTTATAAGACCCAAATATCTGGCACGTTACTATAATATGGTATTAGTACAGTAATAATAGTAATAATAATATATGTATAAAGGTAAATTTGGCCGGCTACTGAAGTCGTTTATACGTGTATTTAAGTCATTCCGTGTTCTAGGCTAGAATAGTTCTCCGTTCTACCAGGCATTCTTACTTAGGCAGTATATCGCATCCCTGTTGCATCAGTGACCCAAACGCAAACCACATACAGTTCATCAGGGAAAACTGATTTTCTAGGTTATCGGGGTCTGGGTTACACGGATGTGGATTGTACCATTCGTACGGTGTAAATCTTTTACAAATTATCCAATAGAGTACATTACATTTCGCAAACAAAAGTAATTCAATAATTCGCAGTAATTAGTATTAATATAAATCAATTTCGTTATTAACATCTATATATTAGTACCGATTAAAATTGTATTGAATTAGAAGTTACCTCGCCAAGATGTACAGGAGAACAGAGACGCCAAGGTAGGCAGTGGCCATGTAAATCCAAACGTCCAACGACAGAGGCGACAAGAAAGAGAAAAGGTTCGGCGGCTGTTTAATCGGTTTTCGGTACAATATACTTATGCCTAGAATAATTTGTAACAGCATATACAATTATCGTCTTCAATGCAAACCACCCATTTCTAGTTTCCAGAAAAACATACCTAAGTTCATGAAGGGCATGGTGAAATCGACGGCTTGTTCACGGTCGTAGGTGATGGTCAAATCGGCTACCACCAAGTCGGCTCTCTGCGACAACAGTTCGCCCATCATGCCGTCCCATTCTTTGTTCTCCTGGTTGTAAGATCCGTACCGGCCGTCGGGAACTAGCTTCAGCGTGTAGTTGAATCCAAGCAGTTTGGATATCTCATGAATCAAATCTATAGCGTATCCTTCAAACTGATCGTTTCCGACCAATTTCTGACTGGATTCCCGTCGCATGGTGTACGGCGAACTCTGTTGAACGAGGGTCAAATACAAAACTTATACCGAGGCAATATAAAACCACCGTGATCACCGACAAAACTAAAATGCTTACCAGCATTAATGTGACTACAAGGGTCTTGTTGTGTAGATTATCAACGATGTTGGAATATGCCTCGACAAAGGACCTCGTAAAGTTGATGCCTTGAGAAGAGTTCCAAGTGCCTATTTTCGTAAGACCTTCTTTGTTCACCTCGACCACGTCCAGTTCGAAGTCGGTTCTGAAACCTTGATTGTCGAACTTAATGACACCGGTCAAACCGCTGATCTCAACCTATTGAAACAAACAAAAAATCACTGTGTGAATTAGTGTTGTCCTTAAATTTAGTTCTGTATGTGTGGGTGCGTTTTTGCTATTACGATTTTCATATAATTGATTAAGCTGTATCCGTGAGGCCAAGTGTCCGAAGCATCGCAACTCAACGGTTTTATATCGATTTTCTGGCTGCTGTCCAAGTCGTGGAGGGCTCTGGCGAACAGATGAACGGCGTCGTAAATTAACGCCGTTTCCGTCTAAATGTGGACAAACAAATAGAAAAACATTATCGTTATTAGCAATGAATTTCGACAAGTATCAATCGTTAAACATTTCGTTATACTTACCGACATAACAGTAAAGTTTTCCTTCTGAAAAAACAAAACATAAAAACGGTATTTTATCAATTTAATTTTCGTTTGTTTTTAAATAACCTATTGGCAATTTCAATTATTACAAAAGTGTTTTTGACTCTAACCGCGCTGTTTTAAAATATATCGATGCCGGTGTCGACCGATGGAAAGAATTATCAGCGAAATGGAGTTTTGCAAAGTCCAAGTATTTACAGCCCTATTAGATAAATAATTCATCGATATATCTACATTACTGTAGCTACAAAATCACGTCACTAAATAATTGAAACTGCCTTTTTGTTTTTTTGTTAAGTACATTTATTTACCCATTGTCGTAGTACTTTTTGTACCATCGGCGTGTCGGGGTTCACCAACCGAAAGCCGGTGATGTTCGTGCCGCCGTACTTGAACTCTTCCAGATCAATAGTGTGCAAGTCCTAGAAACAATAGGAGTAAAGTACAAGCCGAACAGCGCCGTAAAAATGTGAGAATTCTACCAGAGACGTGATCAGATAGCTGTGGTAATCGCTCATCATTCCTATTTGCTGGGCTTGTTTCAATACGTCGTATATCTTTTCCGTGGAACAGTCTAAGACGATATGAGATTCGGCAGAGTTTTTTATTTGTTTCAAAAGTGGCCTGGCAATCACAAAAAAAAAAACATGGTAGATGCATTTCCACTAGAGCCATACATTTTCTAGCAGACAAACCTGTGATCTCGTCCCGAACCTAGTTGCCGAATAGTTATCGGGTAAGCGGACAGCGCAGCGTTTCTGGATTTCAAGAGCTCCTGTAACCTCACCAGACCTTCGTTGTTCTCGTATATAATAGTGAACGATTTCCATCCCCATTTTTTTACCAAGTCCAAATAAGCCTGATGGTAGCAATCAAGATGAATCAATCAAAAACATACCCTCGCACGCTATACTATATAAGTATGATAACGTTACCTTCGACAGAACCGTCGGATGCGGAAACAGGTTGACCAAACAACTCTCTCTGCGGAGTTTATAGTCCCACCGCATTTCCAAATGAGGTATTTCCATGGTGTCGCATATGGATTGGACGTGACTGGATATTTGTGGTGATTGGGGACCGAAAACGGCGGCCACGCCGAGTCTGAGAAGGCTGCACACTGTAAAATACGAAAACGATTTGAAATACAAAGTAACAAAACAAATCAAACGGACGCCTACCCCTTTTGGAAGCATGGAAACTGTCTTGTGGTGAAACCCTTTCGATCTGACCAGTCAGGTTGGACCTGCTGAGAATATTCCTGTTCGAATTAACATCCTGAATGGCATGTTTAAAAACATTCTCTTGGTTCAAGTCGTTCGGATGAAATAATGCTCCTGGAAAAACAATTTGTATTAAACGCTACTTTTATGATTTATGCCTTTTTAACAGTCACAGGTTCTTCATATTAAAAATACCTCAACCATCAATCATACAAACCAGCGCTACACAATGGAATAATAATTCCTACGTACATCATAATTTATAAATATTGTGCTTTGAAAACTATTAAACTCTAAAACTGATTTACTTTATATTAAGCCCTAGTGTAACTCGATCAGCTAATTTGTTAAAAGCATCTTAACATTTAATTTTAGTAGTAACAACTTAACAACAAATTTAGCTTTAATGTCAAATTTTTCGAAAAGGCAAATACCGAATTATTTAATAAATAGATGATATAAAGTACTCTTAAAACGTATATTTTTAAATCAACACACAGTAAAATTGGTACAATATTATAAAAAAAATTCTCATCGAAGCGTTTTTTAAAAAAGAATATTATTATATCAAAGGAAAACTGAGAACAATTAGAGAGATAGGGGTGAGTGATAGGGGGTGAGAGACAGGGGTAGGAGATAGGGGTAGAATATGGGAGGTGAGAGATAAGGGTAAGATATAGGACATAAGAGATAAGAGATATATTGTACGTTCAACGTTCAAATTAGAACTAAATGATAAATTTAAAATAGTTTAAGGGCCCAAATTCTCTATGAATTGTTTTAGCCAGATGTTAAACACTACAATATTAGCCAGAAACTTGATGTTTTAATATACTAGCTTGTTACTGCTTCTTAATATACTATATCATTATCTATAATTCCACTACTCTAAATTTATTCGGTACTTCAACGAGACATGAAAATGCTCTTTCGTGGTTGCAGACTCGGCTGAAAAACTTTTTTGATTTGCCAACGTTTATCCATAGTACTATGTTTAATAACAATTTCATACAAACGTGGAACTAATTTAAAAAAGTCATAGAGCGCTGTAATTTTACATGTCAATTTTGTTACCGCTTTTGTCGATTTTTAAGGGTAACTGATAAGGGGTGAACTTTTTAAATTGTATACTACCCACGAAGTGTACCTTTAAGTACGATTTCTGATCTACAGACTTGTTGCATGAAGAAATCGGTTCAGCTGTTTAAAAAAATATTGTGGGCCCAAACAAAAAAATCTAGTCATTATAAAAACAATAACTTTTCAGTTTCGCATCAAAAATCTATATCTAATGTACAATCGATACTTTTCACCTCCACGTTGTGCGGGTTTTTGTGTCGTTTAGGAGTAAAACATTGTTATAAAGTATACTCTTATAGGGCCTTACACTAGCACTTATTAAGGCGCATTGTATAGGCAATTTTTCACTGAAACTTAATATTAAGCTGTCGTTTTTAAACGTACATATTACCACAGAAAAGAAAGGATCTGTTTTAATAATTAATTTCTTTTTCAACTTTTATAACTCATATAGGATCTAGTTTTGTACAAAAACATACGTATTTCTACTTCGAAGAGAACTTGCATAAAAATACTCTGATTTAAGTTTTGGAAAAACATTTGAATTTTTCATAACATTTTCAAGGCATCGATCGTGGCACAATTTTAAAACTTTTTTTAGATAATTCATTATTTCAATGTAAAAAACTGCAATTTTTAACTTTTTTAAACTTTAACTTTTTGAATAAATTAATTAACAAAAAAATCAACGTTCGATGCCTTGAAAATTTTAATATTTTTTCAAAACTTAGATCTGAATATTCTAGCAACAGTAGGTACGTTTGAAGTAGAATGAGTTATTTGCGACTAAAAATATGCAGGTGTAGACATGCTCCTTACACGAATATAAGTATATGATTTATGTATAGCTTGTTTAAGCAAAGGATTATATCATCGAATGAATTACGAAAGGCAGTAGCAGTTATGTTAAGTTTTTATTTTCTTCAATCAAACTATACTTTCTCGGTTCTAGGCACGTGTTCGACTTCAACACGAACAACACAAAACAAAGCCCTTCGCGGTAACAATTTTCGGATACACAACTCACCGACTTTGATGACGTCCGGAAGTGCGTCTACTCGGCCCAAGTCGACCGAGTATAAACAAAACATCATCCAAACGATCCGAACCGTGGCTTTTACCGGTTTACCGGACGGCATTTTCACTGTTGATCGATTCGTCTCGGCAAAGACAATTCGCAAAGACCTACTCGCAATTACACAACAACGCCGGGAACGTCCATGACGAACGCAACGTTTGCCGTCTCAAACTTTAAGCGCCCCACTGCCGAGATGTACAGCACATTTGGCGTTTCCAACAGATACACCGCCACCGCCATTGATACCTTGCAAATCACATGCGCCGATCTGGAAAATGCAGAGTCTGTGCAGCGCTGCTGCGGCGGCGGCGTCACAATAATCGCTAGCGTCGCGCCACCACAGCGGCCTTTGCGCCTTTGCCCTCCCCTCACGCCCGTCTCCCGGACGAAAATCGTTTGTCCGGAAAATGTAAATAAAAACACCTCCCCTTTGGCGCGATCGTTTAGCAATAGAATTTATCTCGCGGGACCTTATTTTTAAAAAAAAAAAAAAAAACCCCGTTCGAAATAGCGTCTTACTTCTCTCTCTCCTCCTGCCCACCTTCCGGAAGACGTTCGCCGGCTATAGCGTTAGGACAGCTTGGCGATATTCGGATAAAACCAAAACCGCTCGTCTCGTGCAATATCCCCTCCCCCGTAGGTGCTACATGGGGGGGGGGGTTGAAATTTTCTTTTTCCCAGTTCGGGTCGCCAGCGGTTGCCAACAGCAACACTACACAGACTACGGGGCCGCCGTGGGATTACAATCGATCCGAACTAGTAGAACGAGACGGAGAGAGAGACAACCGGGTTATGCGTGTATGTTGTTTACCATGCGATGTTCGTTATTTATTTTGTCGAGACGGTATATATATTTATGTGTGCTGCTTATTAGGCAAACATCACTGATGCACTCCATTTACCAATGGGCGTAACCAGGGCCTGATTTAGAATTTTCGAGGCCCGGACAAAAGGCCCGTTTGCACGTCAAATTTGAATACATTTTTTACATTTACACCACCTTATACATGACAATTTTTCGTAGGGTAATTAATTAAGTATGAACATGTTGAAAAAAAACAAAAAATACTCATAGAAGCTTCGAATATGAAATAATATATTTCCTAATAAATTGATAAACTATAAAATTTCATATTGATAAAATCGCTTTGACACGAATCTATATAGATTTCAAAGTTTCAATTCAGTTAGACTCGATGATGCCATATCTTTTTGTTTTTGTTTTGCAATGTACTCCAAAAATCCCTTGTAATGAACTTCATTTATATTGTCTAAAACAAAAAAAAATTGTGCGTTGTTAGAATATTTACAGCAGTTACACGGTGCCCAGAAAAAACTATTAAAAGAGACAAAAATTATTAAAAAATACTAGCCACCATACTTCAGTTATAAGCATTATATTACAATTATTTATTTCATTTGCAATTTACATCAGATACTTTGTATAACTCGTTTTTGCTGTATTATACTAAGCAATGTATAACGACAGTCGACAGAGTAGTATTTAAAAGGCAAATTGGTATAACTTAAATTAAAATTGTTGTTGTTGACCCATTTTTTACTAGTTAAAATTTAGTTAAGCTATAAATAGTTTTTACAAATTAACATTAAAACTTTATTTTAGATAAATATTCAAAAAGTAATTTCCATTGTAATGGCACTGGAAAGTCAAAGGGTTAATAGTCAAAGCATAAGTCATTTCCCAAATAAATCTATACGTAAAACTAAACTTAAGTATACTATTTTATAATGAACGAAAGATGTATTTTAAGAAAAAGTGAAACTATACAACAATAAAGACAAATTTTGATAAAAGTGAGATTTATAATATGATTCTTTTTAATTTTTCCGGACTACAATGCGGTTAGAGTTTATTTTTTGATACATATTTTTTATATTTTACGAATAAATAGTAAAATTTGTAAGATTCAGTTTTTGTAAATACAAATGAGAATTCTCCCTTAAACTAACTGTCTCACATTTTCGCATCAAATTTAAAAAAAACTATTATTATATGATAAACAAATTTTATATACTTGTATCCAAAACATTTGGCTTTGGCCTTTGATGACTAAATATGTGTAAAACAAACAGTGAAAATGTTCAATAAAATATTATAATGAAAAAAAAACAACATTTTTTTTATTTGTTTTTGAACCAAACTTCTGGTTTTTAACCTATGTATTTATACATAGTTTAAAATATGTTGTTGTTATAAGGTAAAAACATATTTATTTGTTAGTATTCTATCAAGAAGCATTCGTATAGTATATATATATACATATGTATAAATGTATAAAATCAGATAATTTGGTATCGATTTTATAACACGTGTTCTGGTAATATAATATACCTAATATCTGTTGCTTTTAGTATTTATTAAACCAATAAATTTGTACATAGGTAACCTTCATATTTTCAAGTTTAATATTAAAACATATTATTATTTGAACAATACACGTGCAACATATTTTTCTGCTTATTTATTATAACTTAGATTGTACTTAGACTGAGAGGCCTCTATCCTCTTAGAGTTTTCAATCTCAATTCACCTCAAGCAATTTTTATCAATACGTCGAATTTGTATTTTTATAATAGATTTCAGTTCCTGACGAGTATTTTTAAAAATATACCATATCCGATTTCATATAACTCACTCTCCACCCTTCCTCCCGTCCTAAATTATAAATTTTAATAACAAATTATTCTTAATTTGAAAAGTTAAAGAACACGTATATACGTTACCATTTGAGTTTCAAAAGTTGATAATACTAGATAATATTAAAAATAATAAAAACTAAAACATTGTCTAATATTAGGCCGTTAAAAGAATCACCTGAGTATACCTATTATAAACATGTTTTTTTTAGTAAAACCATTGGTATAACTTAGGTAAACATTTTTCACTAGAATTCGTGATATTAATAAACATACAGCATACTAGTCACAACAAAAGTACATTATTATATACATTCAATATCATCAAAAACAAAATAAAACACTTAAATAAGACAAAACAACAAATGCATAATGTTTCTTAAATAAATAATATTTTTGTAGAGGATTTCACTGTAAACCTATATTACTACTATAAGCCGAAATTGACTTACAATCAGTCACATAGATGACATGTGGTTACGGTTAAGTCGACTGACGAAATATCATTGAATTTAATTGTCTTTTATATTGTTTTACATTTTGCAACTAAGCATTAAGTTAATTTAATTGTTTAGTAATCAGTCTCGAGTCGTCGGAAGCACTGCCCATATTTATTTTTTTTAATTTACCTATATTGATGACGTGGGCATCATATAACAATAGGTACTATTATATTATTACTAACGCTCAGCCCCTAGACCCCTCCGCCTCAGGGTGGGTAGGTCAAAGATTCCGAGAGGGGGTGCCACGGTATGTGAAAGACAGCGCACATCGGTTCCTAGGGAGTAAAAAGTTAATAATTTGAATGGTTTATAAAAATGTAATGGCCAATCACAGGCCACTAAACAATGTCAAATGCCACTAACATATATTGGTTCATTAAACCTTTACTGAACGTTTATGCAAGTCGCAGCCCGCCATAAATGTTTTATATGTTATCAATGATACATTTGTAAACAACAATTGATGCAAACATAAAATACACCAACATCATCGATAAGACTATCATGAAATCAAAACGATATTCTGTCACTATTAGTTTGTAACGAATCTCTTAAATGCTACATGTTCCTTTTCAATACTTATGTATTATTAGATTATGTAGAATTTTATGCAATTTTACAGATGAACAAAATTGACAGGTGTATAAAAATATACCTACTGTACAAAAAAAATGCGATTCTATCAGACTTTGGGCCGCTGCCTGCTACTCGCGTCCGCCACTCTATTCCCCAATTTTATAAATACAAATTATTTTCTTTTCTTAAGAATTGAGAAAATATAGTATACCAGACAGCCGCTCGCACACACACTATGATATTATTATATTAAATTATACGACAATGAATACTATGTATGAAAATTAACAACGCCGTGTTTAGATTATTTTCTTTCCCAAATTCACATATTATAGCTTACAAGATGACCGCTTAGTATTTTATATTATAGAAGAAGATTAAGTCTATTTAATAATTACTTAAGTCTGTTGGAGACAAATTGTTGTCTTGGCCATATTTGTATAAAATCTCGGCATTTTCTTTATTTACAACTTCCAGTACTTCAGCCGTAGTAAGTGTACCTCCCTGTGGATAGCCGAAATGGCTTAAAGCTGAGTTAAAAGATATGTCTATAGCCTGAAAAGAATTGAATCGCGTCATTTAAAAATGTTTGCTTGATATAATATAACATTATACATTATAACAGGTAACTAATTTTAAACGTTATGAAATATATAATATGATGACAGGATTTTAAATCTTCTTAGATAGTAATGTATTCTGGTTCATCTTGTATGAATCGTCTGTATTATTCATACATAAAATATCCAGAATTCAGAACACTACAGAATGTTATCCTAATAATTGTTTGTATGAATAGCTATGTCAAAATATGATTTATTCTTTTTTATTTCAAAAATTAAGTCAAAATATTCGTACAGCTAAATAAACAATTCTTAAATAATTACTAGCTGACCTAATAATATTTTTCAATGCTTCTACAATAATTACATTCAAAATGTATAAAATCATTCGAATAATTTACAACTATGATAATTTTAGAGAAAAAAAATAACAAATTGGACAATATTACCTTGTGCAAAAAAAAAAAAAAATCACATTAACAATTGTTTAGTTGAAACATTTCATTCTAGTGATCCCAGTTTCTGTTTCATAAAAACAACTATTGTACAAAAAAAATAAAAGCAAGTCGCCTTTTACATGGGTTTGCCTTTAAAGACACAATATACAACCCGGTTTTGTATAAAAAAAAAAGTAACTTGTCAAAAAATAATAATAATCGTTATTTAATTGATTTAAAAAAAATAAATAAGAAAAAATACCAAGATAAATTTACTTTAAGGTCTTCTATGTCGTCCACAGTAACTTTGCCGCTTTGAATTACCGAGTAATTTATTGCGAAGCATAAAAAGAAAAACATGTATTTTATATTCATATTGTTTTCTTCGAGGCTTTAAAACGGGTGTTTAAATTAAAACTATAAATTCGAAACTTTAACTGTTGTAAATGCTGTACGACGGCTCGTTTTATAGGCAATTTCCGAACACAACATGTTACATACCTATTTTAGTTTCTTAATCAAACAATTGCATAGGCGCAATTTCAATTTTTAACTTGGGGGGCTGGACATTTTTTTAAAATATATATATAAGTAAATATATTTTTGTATTTCAAAATTGTATGCATAACCTAATTTTTTTGGGGGGGCTAAGCCCGTATTTGCGCCTATGAACAATTGTTAATACACAGACAACAAGTACACATGTGTATGCAAAGTGGTGCATTATTTGTTAATATTTCATTTAAATATGTTTTTAAGTAAACTATTATACGTGATTCATTTCATTTACTTATGATTCAACTTTTTCAATCGTGACTAATTTAACTATTATTCGCGTTATGAATATAAAATACATGTTATAAAAATATATTTTTTAACCAGGCTAAAAAATATATTCACATGTGTCATTAGCGATAACTGGATAATATTTATTACTAATTACAGTAATAAATTTTGTCAATTTTCTGCGAGTTTCTGGAAAAACATAAGGAATTTAATTTAAAATTTCAGAAATAGGACTTAAATTAGGATTTGTTGTGAAGCTTTTTGCGGATTTAAAATCAAACTAAGCAAATACTATTAATTTTAAACTATCGAATGTTAAAGAAAAGTATTTAAATAGCAACAATTGAATAGCGTTATTCAGAAAGCAACCAACCCACCAAAAAAAAAATCAAGATTTTAGTTTAACTAGTGTAGCATAGATTTTTTTTTTTTGTGGGTTGATTGCTTTCTGCATAACGCCATTCAATCGTAATACAAATAATTAGTATTAGAGGAAAGAAAAACGAAAGAAGTTAAGACAATATCATTATTAGAGTCGCTAAAGCGTTGATCGAACTCATTCACAAATCTAAAATAAAAATCAGTGCAAACTAATCTCAAAAACAATGGCTGAATGATAAAATAAGTTAAAAAACAAAATATAGTATCGTCGGCAATATAACATATTGTTTTTAGGATTGAACCTGCTCCTGAATGGTTAGTTTTTACTTTTAAAGCTATAATTTTAATTCTTTGCAATTATTATTTTTGTTACCCGATGCTTCTTATTTTAATTTTAATAGACTTACTTAAATCTCAGCCAGACACCACAATTTGAAGTTTTTTTTTTTTTTTTTTATTGATCTAGTAATAACATACAATCCGGCATCTATGGCCATTAGTTTCAGATGTGGTGGAACAAAAGTCATTTACAATAGGTATACATTATGTTTGCGTATTCTAATAATTAAGAACAAAGGAAGAGAATGTGTAATTTTTAAATTAAGTTATATAAGTCAGTTGATTTTAGGAAGTCGATCATCTTGGCATTGTTCTCGGGTTCTGGTCCTAGTGAAGTGTCAAGTGTCGCATCGATTCCAATCCTTTGTCTGTCTTGTTCGTACTTGAGGCATTCGGTTAATATGTGTTTCACGGTCAGTCTTACACCGCAGGCTACACATATAGGAGTTTCTTCCTTAGCCATTAGATAACCATGGGTTAGTCTCGTGTGTCCGATTCGCATGCGGTTTAGTACTGTTTCTTCTTTCCTTTTTAGAAAGCTGTTAATCCATCGGTTGGTGGAACTTTTAATAGTGTTCAGTTTGGTAGTTTGTTGCTTCCATAACTGAAGCGATTTGTCGTTGGACATCTCATTAATCTGGGTTTTTAAGTCATCGTATGTTAGCCCTGGTATTAATGTTACTTCCGCATTTTGGGTAGCAATTTTAGCCTGTTGGTCGGCTAACTCGTTACCTTTGATGCCTGCATGTCCATGAACCCACATGAGCGTGATTTGTTTGTTCATAGTTGAGGCTTCGTTTAGTTTGTTTTGAATTTTTGTTGCGATATCGCCGGGATGGAATTGGTTTTTGATGCTGTTGAGGGTACTAATTTGAAGTTATAGTTATTTAACAATAGGTTTTAATAAAAACCAAACTGCCACATTTGCTTTTTGTGGCAGTTTACCATTTCAAATCAAATATTTTATTCGTCACAGAGAGAAATGTGGCAATTTTCTTTTCCTTTTTTAATTTATTTATTTTTACAGCGCAAAATGTGGTAGTTAATTGCTTTTTACCGGTGTCATCTGGTTAAGAATTATTATTAGATAGGTATGTTAAAAGTTAAAACGCCTCAAATCGAAACGAGGCAGTCTTGATTTATTATGATTAACTGTAAAAAAAATAACATCTAACTACGCAATATCTAAAAATGTGGCTGTATTATATTATTTAACGGTAACCAGTACGACGACAATAAGGATTGAAGATTTACTTTGATTGTGAGATCATGTCCGGGCGATTTGTTGGTTGGTAATTTATTGATTTTGTACTGCACTTCAGCTGGAGAGATAAGTTTGTCAGGAAGCGCCATTGAGAGAGGGGTTAATAGGAACTCCTTAATTTTCTTAACTTGATAAGGAGGCGGGGCAATGGGATGAGGTTGGAAAACAGTTACCTATCCGCAAACAAGGTGAGCTACGTGAAAATAAGAGTGAGAAACGTTAAAAAAATCTTTGAAAATACCTAATTTACCAAAAACCATTAACTTTTCAGCTGTACAGTGATAAAACCAAACCATCAAACCGTACAGACACCAACTTTTATCTATTTAAAAAATATGTTATCATGAATAATGTATTATACTAGACAACATGTTCATTGTTCCATAGTTTAATCCTATATTACTTATACTTGTTGACAGTTGAAGTAACAATAAATATAGTAGGTACATCCGCGGCGGGAAAAATGTATAAAATAGATGCAATTATACCTATATTATTATTATATACGGACAAACAGTACACACTCGTTGACCTTTGTCCAAGATAAGAAATAACGATATGGCTTTTAACACGACAGATTAAAATACAATTTTTTACTAAATAAAATCAAACGGATCATTGTTACTTGTGTTTCAGCATTGTCAAAACGTTTGTTGTGAACATGAAATTTGTATTTTATATTTCAATCGCCTTGACAGCGGTCGTGGCATTTGGCGACAAACTTCAGTGTAAAAATCCCAGTGGACAACCAGTGGATTGGTATATTTTAAAATGATTAATTAATACAAGAAAAAAAACACTATTAATTCAATTAAAATTATTATCATATTACACTTGTGATGTTAAAAGGTTCGTGGCTATCAAACTTCCGAAACTTCAAGGAAACTTTTCCGATGGAACAGGGTACATTTATATGGATTCACAGAATAAGACCCCTAGTTGGTCGTACCATCAAGCGGTAACAATAGAAAATTCTGCGATGGGTCACAGCGTCTCTCAGATATACGTCTCTTCCGAGAGTCAAAATGACGTAATTAATTATTATTATTATTATTTATACAATAAGTACCTTCTTAACAAAACAATACTTCATTATTTTATATTTGTATATTACTTATATTGTATAATTACTGTAGACCCTGATGTGGTTAGTGTATAATGACGAACCGACCAATGGACCGGTGCAAATGACTTTGGGTCACACTAAAGGAATGGTTGCAGCAGACAAGGATTCTGGCTATTGGTTAGTGCATAGTGTACCCAAATATCCTCAGCTGCCTTATCAAAATAATAATTCGTACACCTATCCGCCAACAGGAGTGAAATTTGGTCAAAGCTTTTTATGTTTATCCATGCTATCTCAAGAACTTGATAAAGTCGGTTAGTACGATTAATACTATAATTTCATTATGTAAGGCTATAACGAAAATAACTGGATTTGATTTTAAAAAATTCTATGCAGGTGATCAAATTATAAATAACGAAGCCAAGGTGTATGGCAGTCATTTTGGTAAAAATCTCCAAGACATATACCCCAAGTTGTATAATGCCACTCAGCCACATGATGTACCTAGTAGCGACATCGATCCTGTGAGATTACAGCATTTACAGACTATCAAAGGTTTCAAGGTGTTATCCATAGCAAAAAATAGACAATTTGGAAAAGGTAGGAAAAAAGTAAAATTATTTAATTTTTTTATAAATAATTATAATTATCAAAAATTATTTTTACAAAATGTATGACAAAATAAAAATTTAAAATTATTTAAATTTTAATAAAAATAAAAAATGTAATTAATAACAATTAGATATTAAAAAAAATTAATATGCAAGAATTAAAAAAATAATGTATCACAAATATTATAGATTTGTATGAAGATTTGGTAACCAACCTAGCACAATCGGATCTATACACAGAAACTTGGTTGAATTCGAGAGACAGGTTTAACTCAAGTTGTTCTAATAAATTCAAGTACGTAAAAACCAAACGGAATAAAAAAGGTATTAAAAAAAAAATTTTAAACATGAACTTATTTTACACAGAACAATGAATATTAAATCGATAGTCATGAAGGGTGTAAAACTTAGGTACAAATCGTCTAAAGATCATTCAAAATGGGCTACTAGTGTAAATAATTCAATCCCTTTAACTTGTATTGGAGATGTCAATCGAGCCGTAAGTTAAAAAATGGTTTTAAAACTGAAATGTATGACAATATTAATTTAAGTATATTTTTATAGGGCGATCAAACTCGACGAGGTGGTGGCACTGTGTGTATAGATTCGTTGATCATATGGAATGAATTCAGAAAACTCGTTGACAACATTGAGAAATGTAATAACTAATATACTCACTTTTTCATTTAATTAATTACTCAATACTCTACTGTAACACATTTAGTTTTTAAGTACTCGTTCAATGCTTCTTCTCCTGAAACATTTTAATATCAAACATTTTTAGTGTACCTATTCATGTTGTTAGTAATTATTAATTAATCAATAAAATTAATTTATAAACTCTCAAACTTTTAGCATAGACTACATAGAACATGATATATACTTTAAAACAAAGGCATTATATATCTGAAGTTTGAAATAAACGGATCTACAATGGTTCGGATTCGAATTAACGAATGTTAAGCCCAGATACACATGTATATAAAAACACATTACAAATAAAGTTTTTACCTAAGTCTTTGCCAAATCCAGATCTTTTGAAACCTCCAAACGGAGCAGCAACATCAGTCTTGTTGTAAGTATTAATGAACACTGTGCCGGCATCAATTTTTTCAGCAAATCTCAACGCTTTGCTGATGTCTTTTGTGAATATGCCCGAAGACAAGCCATACTCGGTGGCGTTAGCTCTTTTAATGATGGCATTTAAATCACTACACAATGAATATATACATATTTTAAAAATAATACATCATAAAATAACAACTACAGTAATGTTATACATTTCTGCTTTAGAGCAGTGTTACCTGCCGCTAAACCTGGATACTGCCATGATTGGTCCAAACGACTCTTCTTGTGCAATAAACATATGATCTTCAACGCCGGTAAATACGGTTGGTTCGAAAAAATAACCGGGTCGGTCCAATCGCTTTCCTCCAATTCTTAAAACGGCGCCTTCGTTTTGTGACTTTTTACAATAACTAATCAATTTATCCAAATGAGCTTTGTGATTTTGTGGTCCATGATGTGTTTCACGATCTAACGGGTTGCCAATTTTCTAAAATGTCAATTAAAAACCATTTTTTTTTTAAACATTATTTGATAGCAATGTTTTTTTTAAAATACCGGTAGATTGATAAATAGATATTATTACAACATAATAATTTTCTATAACTATAAATAGAACAATTGATATTTTATTATGACTTACAATTTTTTTAACTTCTTCAACAACTCTATTTACAAATTCATCATGTATATTAGACTCCACAAATATTCTGCCAGCAGATATGCAATTTTCTCCCTTGTTGAAAAACACGCCTCCCATGCTCTGAACAATCAAAGTAAGCAAAGTGTGCTCAATTAAATATTAAAATGTTTTGTGTAATTTTAAACATATATTTACCATCCTAATGGATTTTTCTAAATCACAGTCGTCAAATATGACTAGAGGGGATTTCCCGCCGAGTTCCAGAGAAACTTTCTTGAGATTTGATTCTGAGGCTGCCTTCATAATTAAATGACCTGTTGATGTGCTGCCAGTAAACCCTACTTTTCTTATATCCGGATGCTCGGCTATTGCTTTCCCAGTTTCGGAACCTACAACAGCATCCAACCATAAATCAATTTTATCATTAAGAATGTTAAATTACCTAACATAATATTATAAATCGTGTAAATAATATATTTTACCAAGTCCAGGGAGAATATTTATGACCCCAGGCGGAAAGCCTGCCTCGACAGATAATTCAGCAAATTTTAAAGCGGTAAGTGGAGATAATTCTGTTGGTTTCATAACAACAGTATTGCCAGCAGCTAAACATGCCGCCATTTTCCAAGATAACATCATTAAAGGATAATTCCATGGAGTAATTATACCACAGACCCTATTAAAATAAAACCACTAATTTAAAATAAAAATTTTAAATATATTGAAAAAAAATTGTTTTTCAAAAATATGATACCCAATAGGTTCTTTTCTGGTAAAAGTTAAGTTTCTGTTCGGTCTAGCGTGTGATATTGGTACTGTCTGTCCGTGTATTTTGTCAGCCCATCCAGCAAAATATCGCCAAACATCGATTGACATGCCAATGTGAGTCTTTAGTGCCAAAGTGTAAACTGCACCAGAATCTATAGACTCTATTGTTGCTAATTCTTCTTTATTCTTTTCCAATAGATCTGCTATTTTATACATCAAAGCCCCTCTATCTCTTGGACTCATTTCAGACCATTCATTATTAAAAGCTCTACTGGCTGCATCAACTGCTCGATCTACATCATTTTCAGAAGCACATTGAACCTAAACACCATAACATAGATATCATAATTGTCATCATCATCATTGTCAACATCTTTCACTTTGTAAAAGTTTTGGCTGCCATCAAAGCAATGGTTTCTACACGTAATCGCTCTTTGGGACGGATTTCCAATCCGTTGCCAGGGAGATATCATAACTGTTATCAGCTAAAAATGTAATTAAAACAACAATAATAGCGTATAATTACCAAACAAATAACAGATTCATTTGCAGGATTAACGCACTCTATTGTGTTGCCCGACTCGGAGTCGACAAACTGGCCGTTGATAAAAAGTTGCTTAGGAAATTGTAATTTCATATTATTGACGTCCATTTGGACTGGATCGTATTCTATGCGCTTATTACCCTCTAATGTACCCCTGGATCTTTTTACGAATGTGTTGCAAAATTCATGAAAAACTGGGGACATGTATACATCATCATTTTTCAATGTCAAATTCAGTTTATCTTTTATCTCTTCAATTAACCTAAATTGTATAAATTGCAGACATTAATTGTTTTTAACGAGTAACCAACTAAAACAATAAAATATTTACCGAACTACGTCCATAGAACCAGCACCGGTTTGAAAGAAATGTGTTTCTTTGACTATATTTGTGTTTAATATATTCTTCCAAATATTTTCCAAAACAGAAACCATAGCTTTTTCCTCTTCGGTGTATTCAACAGCTTCTTGAACCTTATTTTTTTTACCATAATTACTTGCGGCCATCATTTGTCCATCCACAGATAGTCTACTGATATTTAACTAGAATAAGATTAGAAAAACTATTTAACATTCACTTGTGTTACTTATTATTAATATTCAAATCTCTTACTTGTTGGCCATTAGCGCAAGTCACAATTAGACCGTCGTCGTGAATAATACCAGGTTTTTCAAGACCATCTATTAAGACTTGATTACCTTTGGGTGTTTTTACAGTCCACAACATTGATTTGAATAGTTTCACTTCTTTGTTGTCCAGTAGAGCCGAGGCTCCTGGGGAACTGTCTAGACCTCTTATGAAATTATGCACTTCTAATCCAGTTTTCGACCAATCCACCTACAGTATTATTTTATATGTATGTTACCAAACAATAGATTTGTTACAAGTGTATCTACTATTACTATTATTCATTTTCATACCTTTTGCAATAATTTTTTTCTTATTGACGGCTCAAACGAAGCGCCTTCAGTAGACTGAGGTATTACCGGGGCCGTTCCATTAGCAACCATATTAACAGCTTCAGCCTAAAAACAATACATTAATAAAAATTAGTCTTCAAATATACATCCATCCATACCATACTCTTAATTCCCTCTGGATACAAAAATCTATTATAAATAGAATCAACAGTATCATCGGGTAAAACAGGACATGATTTCTGTAAAAGTATTGGTCCGGTATCGAGTCCGTCATCTGCCCAAAATATTGAAAACCCTGCTTCGGGGTCACCGTTGATTAAAGTCCTATAACATGCAATGTGTTTAAGATTAAAGTAAAATAGGAACAAAACAAATTATACTAATATTCATTACCAATTTATGGCACTGACTCCTCTGTGTTTAGGTAAAATTGAAGGGTGATAACATATACTTTTATGTTTTGGATGTTCTATAACTTCCATAGGAATGAATTGAGAACAAAACGGCAATACGTTGAGGTCCGGGTTTACTTTTTTATATTGTTCCAAAATTTCAGGTAAAGCGTTTTCACCTTTACGCCAGGCTTTGATTTTGAATACGGCTGTACCGTCTTCGGATGCAACCGCCGCTAAAAAGATAATAATAAGAAATAATAAAACGTCCGTTAGAAAAATGTAGTCTATTTTTAGTGAACATTAAATGAAATTTTACAAAGGTCTAGGTAAACTTAAATTGCATTTTTTTTTTAACTTAAGTTTACCATTTTAAAAAAAAATGGAAAATATAAATTGTGTTAAGACTTAATATAATAGACTCACCTAAAGGATCTTGTCGATTCCCTTTGTCCAGTACGGTGAAAACACCGACAACACGATGGCCATTTTTCAATAACAATTTATATACTTCGGCGGCAAACGTACTCTGTCCGATTATGGCAACGTTAAGATCTCTGTGATTGGACTGGAAAAACGCGAAACGTTAGTTAAAGTGGAAAATATATGCAATAGTATAGTATTGTGTAGGTAAGTAAAATATAATGTCAACTGCTTGCTTACAAAACCAAAACCAGAGCTAGGACGTCGATTCTTGATCAATTTGTTGAGCATAAACATTTTCGGACTAATAAAAAACGGAAGCACTACCTAAACGAGACGATAATTGTCTTGTAATTGTTTTAAGTAGACTCGAGACCAAGTCAAGTGGCCACGCGGCAATAACCAAATAATAATTTTTGGCTCTGCTGACATTTAAATATGCCTAATGCCCTGATGCCTGAACCGGTGATAACGTGGTCATTGATCCGAATGCACAGATAGAGATAGTAATTATTATCTATATATATGTCTGAATTTGAACGTTATCAATTAGATAATAATAATAAGCATATATAGAAACTGATAATATGCGCAAAAAAAAAAAACGTTGAACTACATTATTCACATTAATTTTTGTATGTAATAATAATTGTAATGCCATCTAATAAAATTAATAGTACGTTCTGTAAAGTAATCGGCAGCAGCTGTAGTCTGTGTATTTTTTTTCTCGTGATAACAACAACCACCTGTGAGCTGACAAGTATGTACGCTAGCTTATCGATATTAACAATAATAATATAGTACAATGTATTATAAACGTTTGTTAATCTGTTTTATGTACAAAAACAATTGCTCTAACAAAAATCGTTTTTTTTTATCGCCAATTATAAATTATGGTTTTTTGTACAACCAAAAGCAGTCGGCGTTTTTTTTTCTAAAAAAAAAAAGCTTGGACTATGCCCTCCCCCCTAGTTTAGAGACCTAGTCATGCCATGGAAAATGTTCGATTCGGATACAAGCTACACTAGGCACCTATTTAAATAGCTGTATTCAAAATCATGTTCAAGTTTTAACTTCTTTTTTGATAACGTATTTAATAATACCCAGTGCTTTAATTGGAGGGGAGGGGGTTGAGCACCCCTACTATTTTTTTCAGAAATCGTAGCGTACCCTACTAATTTTGAGAAGTAATTTTTTTAGGGGTAAAAAAAATGTCGATACGCTCTTTTTTTTTAAGTAAAAACGTCCCCTACTTTTATTTTTCCAATTCGAACACTGCTAATACCTATGCTGTTAAGATCTTTACCACGTTTGTGTATTTTGTCATCTGTAAGTACCAAAATATAATTTAGATGCCTGTTAAAGTTTTCATTAATATTGTTATCACTCATCGTTTATATTTGGTACATTAATTCATAATGAAATAGACTTCTTCAATAAAGTTGAGAATAGAAGTCAGTGAAATATAAATAATGATCATTTCTAATAAGTGCTTTAAAAACTCATAATATTTGTTACTTATATGCATAAACGCAAATTCGATGTCTAAATGACGACACTGTGTCAAAATATATTAATTTTCAAAAAGTCAAAATTTAAAAATTATTATTACATTTTTTTTTAATTTGTATTTATACTCGTAAATTGATTATTTCATTTTGGAATTAACGAATAAGTATTTAAATTAATTTTTAGGACGAGTATCTAGGAAATGAGAATCAGAGAATAAGACGCAAAATGTTGGCAATTTGTTGATAAAAAAATATGATAAATAGATTTTGATCGTGTTAACGTTTTTTCAGGTTATTTTATATTAGCGTTGAATACATTTTGTCCCGTATATTATCTATAGTAATAGCTGTTTTTAGAAAAAATAATTAACTAAGCACTTTTTTAGATTTAAATGTTTTGTAGAAGTCTAAAGTTAGCCGTAAAACAGACTTGTTGAGTTGTTGAATTAAATTGTGTTTATACAAAATCTCAATTAATTTTTTTTCTTCAAAATATGCTAAACAACAAGTTTTATCGAATTTGCCTTACTTTATTCTTAATCGTTGATGAATTATGTGGTTTGGCTTCCTTTTTAATGTAATAATCAATGATATACTATTATTGATGCTCGTTTATATAGGACAATAGTGTGTACAAAGAATCATTTTTTTAAACTAATTAATTGTAAACAAGAACAATGATTTGCTGAAAACTGTGTGTATAATCAATTCATTACATACATTTAATAATAATTAAATCACTGTTGAAGTTAAAATCGAATAATACGTTTAAATAAATTATATTTTTTAATATACACAATTATATTATTATGAAACTCGACAAATTTGATTTTGTTTAGAATGGCCAATTAAGTATTTACCGCGATGGCCGTCAACTCGACAAAATACATTACCAATACATTGGTCGAATTTCTTCTGTTGACCGTCGAACCCAACTCTGTATTGAAAAGCGCAGCCGTCAAAAGTCTTCATTCCGTCGTCGTGTGTTACGACGTACAACATTTTTACCGAACCCGCAAATGCTTCATCGATACTCGCGACGTGTCTATCGGGTTGGACGAATTTCAATCGTACTGCGACAGTAAAGTGTTTTCCAAATGCGGCGCCGCGAGACAGAGCAACGGTTACCACTGTTTAATGACCGTTGGCGAACTGATCAAATTACCGGAGTGGGCCGGTCTGTACGCCGTGGTCGGGCCCGCCGTCATGAAGTTTCTGTTGTTCGATTGTCTATTGTTCGTGCCGCACAGGGAGAACGTTTACTTCTGCGTGGACTCGTCGTCTGGACATTGTGGCCGTCACGAGGTCTTACAGGCGTTCCGGTCGATGTCCAAGTTCGTTTGGAAGGACAAAAGTCGGAAAAGCTTTGCGGACAACCGCACGCACGCTCCCAAGTGTTATAAGATTTCGGACTTGTTCAAGAATATCAAGAAACCCGGACAGATGGACGCGGCGGCCATGTTGACTGAAATCCGTCAGACAGACGTCGGCGGCAGTGTGGAATACGGCCAGTTAAGTTTTGAGCCTCTGAGGAAAATACTGGAAAAGCTGTCGGCCAGAGACTCGCGGTCCGCGTACAAACACATGTATTACAGCGCAATCGATGGACATCGTTCGCAAGCCATCCCGTTGGGCAGAATAAAGAAGTTTGCGGCCACGGTGGTGCGGAAAATCGTGCCGGTCGAAATGTTCGGCACCGCCGGCAACCGAGATCAGTACCAGAGAAACGTGTCGAAAATCTTGGATTCCGGCATGGGCCACGAATTCACCGTCGAGCACGTCGTCCACAAGATCAAAACGTCCAGAGCGGCGTGGCTGAGACGCGTCGTGTCGCCGGCCGGTACCGGGGCCATGGCCAAAACGCTAACGTGGCTGACCAACGCGTTCGTGTTCGGCCGGATAACTCAGTTCTTCCAGGTGGTCACCACTAACGTGCCCAGCTACGGGATTGCGTACTTCGCCAAGCCCACGTGGACGTCCATGTACGACCGCACCGTGCAGCCGTTAACGGAGAGCGGGTTTTTCCAAGAGGTCCGCCCGCAAACGGCGGCGGTCGTCGCCCGCAGGAATTGGAGGGTGTGTCCGTTCGCCAAGCTCAAAGGGATCCGTTTGATATTTAAACTGAACCGGGAACCCAGGGACAAGGCACTGATGAACGACTGTCTGGTGTTCTTGCGGTGCCTGGCGAACGCGTATCCGAGGACCAAGTCCGTGGACAAATCAAAGTTTTTCGAAAGCTGGCAATCGATGCGCGTGTGCCTGAGCAAGTCCAAACGGCCCGTGTACTACGTCCGGACAGACTTCCGGGATGCGTTTACCAGCATCAAACAACAACCGCTGCTCGCCGTGCTTAGAAGTTCGATCAAACGGCACTTTGGGGCAAAGTCGCAGGAGCTGTACATGAATACGGTGGACGTGGTCAAGTGGGCTTCCGGCGCCACGGTGTACTGCAAAAAAATGAAATACTTCGACGGCCTGCCGCCACCCAAGTTCCCGGACGGTGCGTTGTTGTTCCACGACAAGAGCTCGATCGTATCACTGAACCGAATCTGGAACGCGGTCAAAACAAGCGTAGAGGGCAACGCAGTGACGCTTCACCGGCGTCCGATGGCCATGCTCCGAGGCATCATCCAAGGCGACCGGTTGTCCACGATGTTGTGCGACATCCTGCTGGCCGACCTACAGTCGAACCAGCTGAAATCGTGCGTCAGCGGACCGTCGCGGTTGCTGTACCGGTACATGGATGACTATCTGTTCGTATCGTTCGACAGACGGGCGGCCGAACACTTTCTTGCCACCATGAGCGCCGGATTCGAAAAATACGGCTTGACGATAAACAAAGACAAAACCGAAACCAACCTGTATGGGACGACGTCCGACGGCGGCGGGTCGGTACGATTTTTGGGTTTGCGCGTCCACGTGGACACCGGTGAAATTACGCGGGACGAGCAAGTGTTCCGCGGCAAACGACCGTTGCACTTCTTCGACTACGGTCTCGCCGTTCGGCCTGGAAAGCAATTGTACCGGCGGGTCACTAGCCACTACCACTACCCGTTGCCGATCGTCTTGTTCAGCAAAACGTACAACTCGCCGGCCACGGTTGTCCGTAACTTGGCGTCCGTCGTAGCGCATAAAGCTTTCGGTGTTGTCACTTCGGCAAAGCAATATTTCTGGCACGCCAACCCGGCGTTCTTGTGGCGTCTCGTCCGGGACGTCAGCAACGTTGTGTACGCAAAAATGTGCTCGCTGCGCCAACACTGTGCCATCACTCCGGCGCAAGGCCGGTGGATCGTTTACGAGGTGTTCAAGAAAATGTTGCACAAATACTTACCGACCGACACCGTTTGGGTGATCGACCAATTGCGTGCCAACCAAGCTAAAATAGAAAGCAATTCCAATGTGCTTACGGTAAAAAAATCTTTGCGCTTTTATGATTTCACCAAGATGTTCGATTAAATATTGAAGAAAAAAAATGCAATGTTATTTATTTATTGTATATTATGTTTTTAAATTTGTATATAGTTTTTTTTTCACCTTTTAATTCAACATTATAGAATAAATTACCATTATATTAAACGATATTACAGTTTCTTATCAATACAAATATTTATTATAACCAAATCCAAATGTAGGTATGATGATTGATCGTAATAGTTTACCCGAAAACAATATGTAATCTGTAGACTGTAAACGATAAACACAATATTAAGTTAACAACCGTGTTATTCTTTTTCCTTATTAAAAAAAACATCAGACTAGGTTTAAGCTTTACTGCATTTTTATGTTATTATCATTAATTTATCTGCGAACTTGGATCCAAAAACAACCTACGCCCAAGAATTAAATAAAGAAAAATGCGCGCTCTCGAAGTAATTAGTCTTATATTGCTTAAGCCTGAGACCTATCTGGACTTTTTGAAACTTTAAAATCTTTTTCTTGTATTTCCTAAGGTTGTATCAAACCGCATATAAAGATAAGCATGGAACGGGTAAGAACTTTTTTATAAGTTAGTCTTTTAAATTATTTTTAAAAGCCCGGCCTAATGAAGAAAATCCAACATCCCAAGTAGATTTTTTTAATTTGTTTACATCAACTTGAAGGCTAGCAAGATAGGCCTCGACAACCGTTTGTGCCTTGTGGACCTTGCAGTTCTTCAGTAGACATATATTTAGAGAATTATTGTGAAACATTATTTGTAAATATTTTTCCGGAAATTGATGTTGTGCCAAATAGCCAATTTTTTAATAGGCAAGACGTAAACTTTATTATATTTTTAAAAACTCCAAAAAGTATATATTTTTAACAAAGCTTATTAAGCTTTGTAAAGTGGAAAGAGTGTAGTAAAAAATATTTAAGTACAGTTGGTAAGGATTTTCTTCATGTCTTATACCTACAAGATTTTTTAAGGGTAACTTAAAAAATTGTTAGACACTTACCTACATGTTTTTTCAGTTATAAATACAATAATAAACTGGCCGAAATGGAAGGGAGACAATTACATCCTTTCCTCACTAAACAATAGCATTTTAAAATATAACGATGGGTTACCAAAAATTGTTATTTTTCGTTGAAAAAAGAAAACACTAAATATGAGCAGCCCAACAAAATATGTTAAAATAAAAATTATCTCAATAACAATAAAATTATCTATTATTGTTACGACGTTATTCGTAGTTAAATCTCAAGATCAAACTGTCTGTACAAGTAGGTAATATTACAGCTATTACGAAGACAACATCGGTAAATGTACAATGTTACATGTAATAATTAATAACTCAACATGGCCACCAGTAGCGAAAATTGGTATTTTAAGCTTCTAATACTTGCTGTACACAATGTGTAGAATAATTTAAGCAATGTACATAACTTGATTACTCCAATAAAAAAATACATTAATCAATCCTGCCACGATTCCATTATAATTTTATTATTATTTATAACAAGGAGATAATTGAGAGAAAAAACTAAAACAATAATTATGCATTATTTTATTATTTTTTTAATTTCTTGTAATTTTTTATAAATATTCTATCATAAAAATCATTATAATAGTGGTTCTTAATTTTTTAATTATCATGTATGTAATTATATATAAATATATATATATATTATAGGTATATAATTTTATAAAATAAACCAAAAAAAAAAAAATTAACTGGTATCCGTCTGTAGTATACTTAAAAAAAAAACCTTAAAATAGAATGGTTTCAAAATAATAGGTATTTACAAAGCGAAATTTATAAATTATTTTCAATTAAATGTTATTAAAAGTAGAATACGCAAGTACGAGTAAACTTGTTAAGAAAAAAATAGGTAAGTTTTATTTTTTAACACTTAGATGACTTAAAATTAAATGCCCCTTGATAAAAATAAAAATTAAGAAGTTATCACAGCTTCTACACGTGTTTCATAACTGGCACAATGCATTTGAAAAAAATCATAATTAATTTATATTATATATAATATTTTAAAATGTGTATACAATATGTTATATACACACACACATGCATTAATAATATATTATATAATAAATGTATGTACATACATATTAGATATACATGTATAAAACCCTACATGCTTAACTGTTGTATTTTAAAATAATCTCATAATAAAGTTTGTTAAGAAAAAATTAAAAAAAATACTTATATAATTCAATATTTAAATTAGTCGAACACTTCTTACTTTTATTATTTACATACATAGACAATTTTCTTATGTTTGGGCATATATAATTGTTAACTAAATGGGAAATCTCTTTATTCAGAAATAAAACAATTATTATTTACATAAAAATATTTCTTTGTTTTTTTCTTTTGCTTGAGAAATGCTAATGTAGAAAAAAAAATTGCTTAAATGCTTACAAAATTAGATGAACGCTCGTCTTATAATTGGAAAAATAAAACTTATCAAAAGTTTATTTATATAATTTTTTTTGTTTAAACTACAGATTCTATTTCTTTAATTTCTTGTAGTGGCTGTTTGTTGGGCGTGGGAGCTGTTTCGATTATGGTAGGAACCTGATGATGGTTGTTGTCATCGTCTTCATCGTCCTCTTCGTCATCTTCGTCGATAGGTGTTAGCGCGTCATCCTCCTCTTGTGGTATGGCCATTTGTCTTAGGTCTATATACCGTTTCAACGGAGCTGCCATAAAACTAGTTATAGCCGAGATGAGGAAAAACACTGCTGCCATAAAAAACGGCCAATCATACGATTTTTTCCAATCATAAATGGCGCCGGCAAGAGGGGATCCCACAATTGCTGCTGCGCCACGGAACAATATCAGCAAACCGAAGGCATTGGTTAATTTGTCAAGACCCAAGAGGTCTACGAGAATAATGGATGTCAACGATATGTAGCCGGCTAAAATTTAAAAGCGTATTAAACAAATTAGCTAATGCGCATAAAATGTTTTTCATAAAATTTTTAACTTACAAACAGCGATACCAAAAAAGACGGACATAATAACATAGTGAGTATAGGTAACACAAAACGGAGTCGCAGCAACAGCGGCCGTACTTATCAGCAAACATATGTTGTTCAACAACAATGAATCTACCCAGGGAAAATCAGCAACAAAACCGCAGACTACACGACCGATGGTATTAGTTATACCGATTATGGATAAGAGGAATGATGCTTGTTTCGAATCGATACCGATACCCTGTAAAATTATAATTATAATAGTTAATTAATAACCCATTAATCATAAGAATTTATTTTTTAAACAAGCAAATTACACTTACTGCTTCTGTAGCATAATCTACTAAATAAACGAAGGGCACATAAAGTCCTGCCATGCCAAAAACGTTACTTATACCGATGGTCATAAACACTGGATCTTTGAGCAAACTTGTATCCATCATGGAAGATAATACAGAATTTATAGATTCAGGAAGACACGGACAGCAACCTTCTAAAATTGTGTCTAACGTTAATTTAAGTATTTAAATATTGATGCGAGTCATTACAAAGATGATATAATATAACCTACCATCTATTTCTTCATCGTCGTCTTTATCGTTGTCCTTCATCATAGATTTGGGTAATGATAAAATACTCTGACGATAACTAGCTAATGATTTTTGAGAACGGTATTCTGGCAAATTAAGTACGCTTCCAGAATAAAATATGTCTTTTCTAGACATTGGCCGTACAGTCTCTCGTCTGTGGCCACCAATGCTAGTTTTTGATGAAGTGTATCCTATACTATCAGTGTCAACCTACAATCATACGTTCGTTATACATAAATGAAATAAAAAATGATTTATTACTTATGAAAATATATTTTTAAATGAACAAAGATAATGTGTTTTTATAAATAACAGATTATCTATTATTTTTCGAGTTACAAATATTAAATATGTGAATGAAAAATATTATTTATTATTTAATGTTAAATTTAAATTTTACTCTACCCAATTTTTAACCAGTAAATTTTCTACTTACATTTGACCACATATCTTCAGCATTATTGTTCTTGCTGCCGCCAAGAATGGAAACGTTTGACAGTCTCAAGTGTATCGATTTTCGTATATCTCCGTTAGAATTTAAATTTGGTCTAGATACTTTAATGGGACCTAGAGTTGGCCGATATCTTTCACTAGCACTAGTTTTGCGTATTCTGTCAAAAAATGGCACGGATCCATTCTTTGGTAAACCTTGCACATGAGTTGTGAATGCCGGTTGAGATGCGTTTCTAGGAATAGCGGCTTTTACTTCGTTTAATTCGCTGTTGGTTTCCCCATTTGAAGGTTTTTCGCCATTAGTTGGCTTATCGCCATTTTGTCCAGCGTCCCCCGGTTTCGTTTCGTCTTTTTTCTTTTCAGATTTTAATTCTCCGCTTCCGGCATTGCTAGAGCTATTACTGGAGCCACTTTGTTCTGGAGCTTTAACTTCTCTAATAGTAGGTAAGACAGCCATTGTTGGTATCGGCGTGATTGGAGATCCCGTACTACCAACTAACTCATCTAGATTAAAACTAGAATGAACACCAGGATCGATGTTCAATGGTAACTTTTGTCTCTTCTCTAACGATCCGTCTTTGAGTTGCACAATAAAATATGATCCGCCAATAGATCCTCGTTCCATTTGCATGCGCTTTTCGTCTGCCATGCGCTGAAGTAACGGTTTACAGCCTTCATTCGGATATTCCAATGGTTTCATCAAAGCGCCAAATAACTAAGAACATATAATATTAGTAAAAGTAAAAATAAATAAATTTAAAAAATCAATATGTATTTATAATATTGACTCACGCCACATGATAATATAAGTCCAGATAAAATTAGGTTGGATTGCTTCCAATCAAAATGCTCGAGGAGTATGTTGGCCAGAGGTGCAAATGCCATAGTACCGAACCCTGAACCGCATACAGCAATGCCAGTGGCTAATGACCGTTTGGTCTCGAAATAATAGCCGACACACACAACAGCTGGTAAATAAATCAGGCCAAATCCAATACCTGTAATAAGTAATAAATGCAATTATTATATATATATATTTTTTTTATAAGTTTTTAACTAAATATATAACAAACGTTTATTAAAAACATGTTAATAAACATGACAACTTTTTCGTTTACCATATACAATTTAAAATATATTTGTAAAAGTATCGTACATTTTTAAGAACTTGAAATATATTTGTAATCTATAAAGCAGCTTTAGAAAAATGGCTCGGTAAAACCACAATGTTTTACCCATCTGAATAATTTAATACATACAAACATAACATTACTGTTAAAACAATATTCTAACAACTTATTTTAACTAACATTTTGTTTTTTACTTTCTACTTCATTATACAACTTTAATGACAATTATAGAGAGAAAAAAACAGGATAAATTTTTTATTTATTTCATAACTTTGTAATGTTCTTTTTAAGTGTATATTATAAATTAAAATATTAACAAGAGTAACATTTTAATACAATTATCAGATATTGGAGGATTAACTAAGAATACCATGTTAATAGTTATAAGTATGTACTTAATCGCTTGGCAAGAAATCTTTAACAAGAAACACATTTTAATAACGTTTAAAAACAACCAACCTTTGCTTTTAAAATATTTTAGTTGAGAGCACAGTTGGATTAATTTTCTACAATAAATTGACTTTTTTTTTTATTAAATAGACCACATAGGTCTTAAAATCAGATAATGAATCGTAGTCATGTGTACATTTTTTCTAATAGAAACAAAACTAATAAATACATTTTTACTATAATATAAATCATTAAAAAATAAATAATAATATAAAGAAGAAAATCATAAAAAAAATGATGATTTAAGTGATAATTTCACAAAACCGTTTTAGGGTAAAAGCACAATGATTTGACATTAGACCAATGATTGAATATAAAGATATAAAAGACAAACTGAGAATTCTGGAAGTTGGCAGGCAATATAAGTGCAAGTTTTCAAGTCAAGTGCACATTGCAGAATCTATTCTATAATAATTGTTTTTGTACATATATACCGAATGCTGTGCATTCGTACATTCTATTATTTAAATTAATGTTGCTTGTAGGTTTAGATAACTAAAATTGTATTTAAATGTTTCTATATAAAACATGGTTAGTTTTATTAAAAACTGCACTTATATATTATAACCTTTGTATTTTTTAAGAGTTCTCAAATATACCCAAAATGTGTATTATAATATATTTATAATAATTGGTGGTAAAATATAAATGATCAATTTCTTTAACCTAAAAAGTAGGTATATGTTATTATCAATGAAACCATATTTATATAAAACATTGTTTGTACACAGTATACTATATTATACGACTATCGATAATAGGCAAATTATGATTTTATACATTGTTAATAATTAAAAATATTTAAATTGAAATATACTGCATATAAGTACGGAAGGAAATAACCTACCAAAAAATGTGAGTGTAACTAATTAACTTTCAATATTAAAATTCTATCTTTTATACTTAAATTTGTTCGTTTCTAACTTATGCCATAAATAAAAGAGTACAATAAAATACTTTAAAATTAAATTTATAATTAAAAATAAAGACTTTATAATTAAAGATTTAAATAATTGACAAAAGCTCAATAAAATAACCAATATCAATTATAATTTTAGTATAAATAACTGATAATGAAACACTACTATTGACTATAAATATTAGTCAATTAAAAACAAATGGTACCTAATCCAAATAAGAACTGTGATATATATTAATTAAATGTGTAAATAAATACTAGTACTTAGTAAAAAAATTAAGTAATTTTATAATATAGTATAATTAACTATAATTAATTATTATTTAAGAAATTTAATAATAATAATTGTGATATTACCAGCATATTTTTCATTGTAATCGAATAATTATATGAAATACAATTTAGTGATTAAATCAAATTTAAATACACAGCGGAAAACGAAAGTCTTAACCCATTAATTATAATGAATAAAACCAGTAAGTAAGTAGGTTAAAATTAATGAATAATAACTGTAATTGATGACGATATTAAAGAAATTTAAAGAACCATTTATGAAAATAATGAATTTCAACAAGGATATCAACTTAAATGAAAAAAACAATTACTTATAAACTGTCCTAACATACCTTTTATCCTAAATATTTATTTTAACCATAGGCTAACATTTTTAGAGTAATCATATGTTTTCGATATGATGATAGCTGAAGTCCGTTGAGGTGGGATGTCGTACCACCTATAAACAAGGCAATGTAACAATCTTTACTCAATTAGGTAATGTCACCGCAGGCTAACAGGTTACGCAAACGGCAAGTGTATTATTATGAGCCTGGCCGCCGATACTAAAGGCAGTCAGACTATTTTATTGAACTTACCACCCATAACTCCGTAAGTCAGCATCAAGACATTGACATTAGGTGACAGTGTACTGAGCGCAAAAGCTACTGCTGCAATGACACTTCCCGCCATACACACGACACGACATCCATATTTATTGGTTAATGCACTGACCACAGGACCTGTTCGATCACATTAGAAACTAGTAAATGTCTTTGGACAAACTTTTAATAAGTCATATTAATTAATGTTACTTACCAGCACTGAGATACATTCCAGAGAGTAAACTGCCCACCCATGCAGTTTTGCCTTTGCCTTCCCCGAAATATTTGACAAATTCTCCAAGGAAAACACCAAATGTGTATGCGATACCATCTACGACCATGTTACACATAAAGCTGGCAAACACTATTACCCAACCATATCCTCCATCGGGGGGCGGAGGTAAATCGTGGTATTCACAAAACGATATGCCGTCGTCATCGGTGGTTTGTACGGGTCCCATGGCCAAAGGTGGAGAGCTGGCATTCTGTCTGGCGGTTTCTTCGGCCCGTTCAGCAGCTGAACACTCGCTTTCGGTCTAAAATCAAAAATAATTACCGATTAAATCCAACAAGTTACTAGAACCATATTAATAGTAACAAAATTCATCAATGTACATTAGAATTGTTAAATAAATTATTTTATAAAATAAAAAAATGAATGCTAAGACGTATACGTTTGTTTTTGTTTTTTCATTCATAATTATTGTGTGGTCCGCTTTGACAATTGTGTTCAATTAAAAATTCATTACAAAGCCCGAGAACGATTGGCGCCAGATTATTTATCAAAGCTAATAATTGCCTCCCAGCCAAACCACGACTATATACCAATTTATCAACATATATTGTATTATATAAAAAAAAATTCACTAATACTCCTCTCCCATTCTCCCATACTCTTTTTGCACTAATGTCGAGCCATTTAGTCTTTTAGTCAACATGTGTGTATGTAATGTACTCTTCAATTAAGTATGTTAAGATAAGATTACTAATGCTACTAGATGCTTTAGGCTGGTTATTACTTTTTTTTTTTTTATTAAAAAATGTGCAATCCTCGTAATCAGTACAACACAGGAATGTGTTTTATGTTTATTTTTTGACGACAGTGTACTTCTATAATAATGTATCGCGATAGTTAAACTCCACAAGACACTCGTGTAATTTTATACACATATGACATTTTTCTGTCTACAGCATTTATGTCCTGGTTCTAGAGATGATGAATGATGATAATTGTAACATGGCGATTCGTGATAATTAACCGACTATGCGGCAATGCAAGCTGCTAAAATTAAATTTCAGAAGCATTACGATATTAGCTAGAACTCCCAAACAGCTAACCACGATCAATTCGTTGTATCACAATACATAAATAAGTTAAATTCGGTTAACTGTAAAGTAAGTAGTCTATTGAGTCTTATACAAAGTTAAACTTCCGTTAAACTATTTATTATGTAATTACCGTATTTAAAAGTTAAACTTATAAATATTGTACATGGTTGATACTTTTGTTACAATAAAACACGAGACCACAAATAGTTTTACGGGATACAGCTAATCGACATACGATTTACGAAGAATATGATATTATGTGTACATTTGTGAGCTGTAAATAATCATAATAACAATAATGCATATGACATGTTTATTTGCACTTCTCTTTTAATTTGTTTTTTACGATTATCAAATAGCTTCGGTATGACGTTATCAAACGAGTTCCGGTAGTTTCAAAATGAAAAAAAACATGATTATTAAGTATTGTTTTACAAAAAATCCACAAGACCGCCGTTGATTTTAAAGCGTCGCTGTTAAACGAAACATAATACAACAATACATTGTGGGATAAGCATTTGAATAATTTGCAATTATTATACCTGTTATACGATAATTTTCTATTTTTATTTTCAACGTAAGTATACCCGGATAAAAGTCTCGTAATCTCGTGTACCTTCATTAAAATTTTTTTTTAAAAATGTTAAAGAAATCCATAATTTATTACCCAAGCAAATCGTCTACAAAACACAGTAAGTGCGTGTCCAAATTTTCCTATTTTTAGTTTTATACCTACACATTAGTGTATTTTAGAATTCAGCATGATTATGGCAAACGAGAAGAAGATGGCGGTCACGGAACGTTAAAAATTCACTCGCCTTTGTCATTCCAAAAAATGTCCTCGTTTCCAATATTGGGATAGTCGTTTGGAATTTCATCATAATTTATAGTTAAAAAAAATTAAAAAAGCAAATAATAATAAATTATTATTGATTGAAAGCGAGAGATCTGTAGCTATTTTTCACTTCAAGTAAACGATTTGGTATTATTAACGATCCCAGTATGGTAAGTAAATATTCATACATTTTATTAAATGCGTGGTGCAAGACCTTATCAATCGATGGCGATATTATTATTGAGATAACAACTTGCCATCCTTATCAATCGCTGGCGGTAATTATGATAACAACTTGCCACGTTAAAGCCTATCATCATAAAATATTTGTCAATGTTTTCAATATTAAGTCCGATAAATAACCAATAAAAGCATCGAGTAACAAATTATTTTTAGGGTAAATATTATCCCAGAATCATGTTGTACGTCAGTGAACAAAAATTATGTACACTTATTTTTCTATTATCTACAATTTTTTTTATAGATTACAGTACAACTATTAGCGATAATTAAAAAATGAAGTAGGTATAATTGTTTCGGTTACGTAGGCGTAATGCATAACATGCGTGTACAGGAAAAAAAGTCAAGTGCGATTGCCCGTACCGTTGTGTATACAGTAATTTCTATAGGAAAACCCCGTTCCAAGTGTCTTGGCGCTTATCTTATGTCTAGTGTGAATATAATATTGTAATAGGTTTAGTTTATGATGAAGACACACGGTGTTACATTAATCCAGTTTGCCGACGTCCAGGGTAATAATATTATCACAATGTCGATACGTGATACGCAACAATAATCATTGCGGACGTTTTCAATTAACATATTAATAATACTCGAAGACAAACGCGTTTTATGTAAGAAAAAGCCTTGCCGATAACAACGCGAATACTATTATTCAAACTCCGGTGTTATATATTTTATAAGAGTTTTAAAATATATTATTAAGTACTTAAAAAGATTCTCGATGACAATTTAAGTATTTTCCAAGGTACCTCATCTAATCTGTTTTTGTGTAATGATCATAACCACGTGTGGGTGTGGTTGTATACCGGGAATAAAATGTGACAAGCGCGTTATAAATATTTTTTTACAATCTAGAAATTCCACAGCTTCGGTTAAAAGCTAATTGTTTGTAAAAATAAATACACCTCTGAATGCGGATTTTTAGTTATTTTTAGAAACTTAACGACATAATTACACATAACGAACGACATAAAATATAATATTTGATCGTAAGCCACAATACAACAATTTCCAAAAGCCAATCATTGCCCACGCCAATTATTATCTGTGGTACACAACAGACTTCATGACGTTTAGGGAGATGTTTATGTTATTTAAATATTGAACACTAATATAGTTGATTAATTTGTTACTCTTAACGAATATTAATTAGGGATCAACAACTCTTCTCATGGCAAATTAATTCGTGGAAAATCACAAATTACTATAGAAGGCCACTCAATGGAAGTATTTTGTTATAATATGTTTGTACACCCGTTCTAATTTAAATAAAACAAATTACCAGACAATTATTTGAAATGTTGAAACTACTTAAAAACGTCATTATCTTGGGTAATGAGTAATGACTGAGAAGCCCAATACGAATCGGTTTTATTTTTATATTTTCCGCTTACATGCAATTACAACTGGAATTTAATACTCGTATAATAAACTTCATTCAAGTCATTTAACGTCTTTTGAAACAAAGTAAGCATCTTTCAAGTTTGTTGCGTCATACAAACCACTCGCTAACAAAAATATATAAATACACAGTGATTCATTTAACACATTACACTAAATATCTCTTTATACGAGTATAGATTATAGTTGTAACTATTTGAAAAAATGTATGTATAATATGTTTTTATACAATTATTAAATATTTACCTTGGCGTAACTTATATATTAACATTTTAAATTAAGAATAATTGACTAGAAAAAAGATAAACATTTGAAAGTTGTTTAATACTGCAAAATACATTAGCCTAAATACGTCTCCCGAAAAGTATAACTGCAATATTGTAATTATTTTCAGAGAAAACGATAGTGTCTTTTATTAAATGGAACGCCCTGTATAACAATTTTATGAGCCACGCCAACTTTTTTTTAATATGTAAGTAAAAAAGGCATAGTTTTCGCTTACTCGTTAACGTAAATCATTATTATATCTGACGACGACAAGTAAATTTCATTTTTTTAAAGGTTATATACTTTTAAAATTCGTTTAAAATCAACAGTTTATACATTAAAAAATATAATATACGTTACGATAAGGTAACCCGGCCGGAGACGTTAAACCCGTCGAAGGTGACGTTTTTTTTTTTAAGACGTTGGCAAACTTTACGTGCAACTTTCAAATACATTCACATAACATTATGTTAAAAAAAAAAATGTATTTTTAGAACATTCAAAAACAATATTACCGATATTCTTGGCGAATTCGCACCACAGAATAATGCTCTATGATTCACACACAAAATAAATATCAAGGTTTACATAATTATAGATATAATTAATTATTACTACCGTGTACGGAATATGTGTGCACGATACATGGTAAAAGCTCAAGACCACGAGGGTTAGACCCTGTTGGGGTTAAATGGTGGGGCTGCCCAGGGCTTGATATCCTCTTGTTTTTCTCAATGGACTACATACAATGAACTAAATATAATATAATATCTAAGTAGACCGATATATGTATTTCCATGGTTGTAGAAAATGTCTTGAGGCGACACATTAATTATTAGTCGAGGTGATCCTGATAAATGAAATGATCGTGGCGTGGAAAAAAAAAATTATGATGTTTTAAATTAATATAGGTAATAAATTGTTTGAAAATGAACTGGGAGCCTGCATACTATGTAATATGCTGGCCTGCGGGCTTGAAGGCGTTGGCCGTCGTTGGTGATATTTAAACAACGATGATTAATAACAATTAGGGCCGGGGAAGCGAATAAGAGTTTCGAAACTTTTGTTTTATCATGTTATAAATCGGGTTTGCCGTACAAAAAGACCATACAGCCAACATAAAACCGGTCACGTTCTAGTCCGCGAAAATATCAAACGAATAAAACCATATTTTAAGACCTTGAACGTTTCATACACGTCAAGGGGGGTACAAGATACATTATGCAGTTTCTTCTAAGCGTTTTAAATGTCCGACAGTTTTTAAGCTTAAAGCCGACGTTTCAAAACAAAATTAAAAAAATAGTAACAATATATTATGAAAATTCACGACCGGTTTTTACATTAGTAATAATAAAAAATACAGTTCATTTAAAATGTGAACTCGACAATTTACAACAATATAGAAATCGCACAATTATTGAAAACTTATATAGATTACATGTTGTGTGTTTGATACTTGTA